ATTTCCTCAGTTAAATGTATACAGAATTTATTATAGTTAAAATTAGTATTATATAGTTGGTAATTAGTATTAATTAAATATTATGAACAATGTTTTTCTTTAAAATATGGTGTTTAAAATCTAAATTTTGAAACATTATTTTGATAATGATAAATTATTATCACATTTATTATATTGTTATCTTTAATTCATTTCTCAAACATAACTTTTACTAATAACAGTAATAACCAATTGATTAAAAAATGTCGGTAGGTGGCTTCTACGCATCATCACGGCCTATGTGTTGCGAATTTGTGATTGCGATAATATTATTAATGGATATTTTAATTTTTGAAACACATATATATGTCAAATGCAGTGTAACAATATCTTGTTATTTCTCTAAAATATACGCTTTTAAAAGGTATGGAAATAGTATACATTTTTTAACTAATTTTCTATATTATTTTTTGAACGGGTAGCTCCAAATCCAAGCAAAAAGTGAGGAGCCTGGGCCTCTCATCTTTTCGCCCAAAGTAACGACCCTGGGTCTATGGATCAACTACCTATTGATGATCAAAATTGGTCTTGATCTTGTGGTCTCTAAAGACTCTTGGTATAAGACCAAGACCAAGATGGTTCTGGCATTAGAAAGACCAAGATCAAGATTAGAGCTGCAGGACCAAGACTAACACTGCAAGACTTGAAATTTTTTCTTTTTTTCCGAAAACACATACGTGTCTCTAGATTTAATTAACTAATAATTTTTAAAGAAAATAATAACAAATTATTTTTACAGTTATTAAATTTGATTATCATTCGAGGAAATGCCGAATTATTGAAAAAAGATTAGAAATAATTGGAATTATTATTACAAAATAATATAGTTGTTTCATATACTAATATTTTATTTTCCCGAAATCGATATAGACGTTAAAAGTTGCTGTCTTGCTAAATGATAATAGGATAAGTTATGTCTATATAATACACCTATACTTTGAATCGAACTGGGACTAATATTCGATTAGAGACTAATAATTGCTGGAAGTCATTACGGACTACGATATGCATCATTTTGATTGTAAGTACGTTTTTATTTTTCTTCGTAGTGGTATTGCCGTATTAGATATTGTGTAGCTAAACGTCCAAAACTACATTGTCTGCATAACATATTATTATGACTGTCATAAACTTGTAGTTTATTAGTAATACGCCTTATTGTTGTTAAACTTACAACGAGTAAAATAAAAACTAAATTGTTTGACTTATTTTATGTTTACTTTCGAATTATTTATATAATATGTATATTATATATTGGACTTAAGTTCAGGGCCGTACCAAGAACCAGTAGCACCCCTGGCAGAAACCAAATTTGCCCCCCTCCGCCCACTATACAATTTTTTTTCAACTACCATGTTCATTATAAAAAAAAAATCACTGATGATTGTAGCACAAGTATATTATATTCATTTTATTATATAAATATTTTTAATATTATAAAAATTGCTCTATTATGTATTATGATTAAATAATAATAACAGATTAAAATAAAAATTAGTTGGTCAACGAAACTTTTTTCAATAGATAAAATTGCCATACTTGTTAGACAATTTTGGTTCATCGCAGATCTTAAATAGTTTTTTATGATCTTCAGCTTACTGAATAGCTTCTTTCACATGTAGCTGTGGTGACTGGAATATCATGGTTTCCAATATTATGATGCGCGCATTGCGCGACCAGAAACATATTGCGATAACGCTAAAAAAACCGCGGATTTTTGCTGTTGTAAATTATCATATTTGAATCGAGACTGCCAATCGATGAAATTGAGCTTTCGTAAAATTGCGCACCTAGCAAATTCCCTCTTGTCAATGCCTAGCTACGGCCCTGCTTAAGTTTCATCTTAGAAGTCGTAGCAAAAAGCTACACACAGCTAAAACAGGTATTACATTTTTTTTTATAGATTTTGTAAAAATAACATGAGTGTTGCAAGAGTCTTATTATTATACTAATTAGTAAATTATATTATTGACCAAAACTAATACCATGACTGAGCCTGCAAGACTAAGATCAAAACTAACGTGTTACGTGTATACCCATTACTCAAGACCAAGATTTTAAAAGTCTTGGTCTTGATTTTGTTTTGACCATCACTACAACTAACAACGCACGACCGTTGGAATTCAACACTGTACTGATATGTTATAAATCATTATAATAAACTATTTTAATCCATAATAATATATCAGTTAGAAACTACGAAGTCAGCCAAGTGCCGTATATAAGTAAATTACACAACTAAATATACACATTAGTGTACACTGAACTCATATTATCTTGAATATGCTGCATGTCTGCAGTGGCGTAGCTAGGATTTTCTGAAGAGGGGTGTTGATTATAAACATTAAATATTATATTATATAATACGTACAAACTAAAACTTTTATTTTAATTAATTAATATGTATACATAGTGTTTGTATGGTATGGTCATTATTGGTCAATACATAATAATGAAAAAAAATAATATATTATAAAATAAAATCCGTTCGTCGTTTTTGATTGAATGACAATTTTTGTATTACTTCTTCTGCTGTTACTTCGACTTCACGATGAATATTTAAAGATGATAATCTATTAGGTCTAAACTGGCCAATAGAATTTCTAAGATATGTTTTTATTCATTTTAATGTAGAAAAACTTCTTTCAGGTTCACATGATGTGACAGGCAATGTTGCAAATATTTGAAGGAGTTTAAAAACATTTGGAAATAGGTCTTTATTGCACTTATCAAGAGTGTCAAGAACACTTTTTAATAAAAAAGTTTTTCCAAATGTGTATGCCATAACTTTACCTCTGTTTCAATAACTTCTTGATCAATATCATTAGAATAAAACTGTATAATGTATATTGTAATAAATAATATGTAATAATTAGGGCTGGGATTTGTATGCAAATACATATTTTTAGTGAAACACGATAAATTAATTACTGTAAATGATAAATTCGTTCACATGATTTGCAATAAAATAAGACATATTTTATTTTACATATTTTTTACATATTTCGTCATAAATACATATTTTTACATAATTTGTAAAATTTTCATTTTTATTTCCATACTTCGTAAATTGTGATAATTTCAGTGGTTTAGTAATATTTTACATTTAGCAGCATCAATTCCCAAGGGAAAATAAATTTTTGAGAGACCTAATATAAAGTCTGCTCTATCATATATTGTGTCTAATTTTAGTTTTTTTAAGTGAATCAATTTCAAAATTAGAAAACACCAAGATTCCGTTGAGTGAAAGGATACAAATTATTAATTTATCAATTTCAAAAATTAATGAATCAGAGGGCCCAACAGCAAAATTATTAAAGAATAAAACGAACGTCGTTTTAAACAAAAATTCGGGACTGAAGACCATTAAATGTATAAAAAACATTCTTTGTGGTATTGCTTATAAATCAGTGTTAAGACCAAATCGCAGTACATTTAATTTTGAAAATTTAAAACAATAAATGGTTTGTCATTGTTTCCCTTACAATTGATTAAACATCAATTTATTGTATTTCAATTATGATCAAAAATTATTTAGAATTGTATTTTTATTTAAAACTTTAACATAGGTAGGTATTTTTTAAATTTTTCTTAGTACATAATTTTTATTTTATACAACATATTTTTTATTTTATACTACATATTTTGGCAATTTTAATTACAAATATATGTACATATTTTTGGTCTTTTATTACATATAAACCCCAGCCCTAGTATAATGTAATAAATGATACGGCTCAAGCGGGATGTCATATCCACCAAACACCCCCCTTGTATACGCCACTGCATGTCTGCATATCTTCATGATTACTTACTTATCGGAAAAGCTTGTCCACTCAACAATTCATTTCAATAAGTTCTTTCAAAATAAAAACAAATTTTAGTAGCTATAAGTAAATTTACAGCATTTTTAGGGAAGTATTGACTATTGACTACCTATGTTAAGTTAAAAATACTTTTAGATTCTGAGAGGAGCACTGAAATATGAATTTATCTAATATAAATATATAATAATGAATTTCCAACGGTTTTGTGAGTGTCTGATGTCATAAAAATAGTAGAAATGCTACAATGAAGATTACAGCATTTCTATTTTGAAAGTGGTTTCTATATAGTACTATTATAATGTTTAATCGTAACAAATTACGAGTACATTTCAAAATAATCGTGGGAAAAAAAAGGAAAAACTGGAATATTTATTATTTAAACTGGTAATTAATAAAATTGATTTTGTTTTATGGCTGTAATTCGAAAATGAATAGGTAACCATAGATACTTCAAATGTTTAATAAATATTTGTATTAGCATTTTCTAGAAATAATACAATTTTCTGCAAAATATTTTGGCTCTTTTTCCGCTTTTTATAGATGTTTGAAAAACATTCGTTTTCGTTTCCGTTTTTTTTTTAAATTTATGTATATTAACATTTTTGTTTTATGGTTAAAAAAATATGTAAATATTAAATTTAACACAAGATTTTTCATTAGATGCTTATATAAGTTAAAGACATTTAAAAATATTGGTAATACCTACATTTTTCCAAATTTTTTACAAACCTCATTAAAATTACAAAAATGTAAATCACAAGGGACCTTGTCCCTATTTAATTTCTGAGGTTTTTGACCTATCGAATATTCCTTCATTCATAAAATGAAGACTAGAATTCTAGTCTTCATGATTCATAAAATTATATTATGATGGCACTAGCGCATTCTGGTGACCTAGTGTCTAAAACGTTTTGTTCGGCGTTTTTCTGTGATAAGTGATATCTGTGTTATTTTATCTACTTTTTGCACAGATGTAGATAATAAAATATGTATTAATATTATTTTTTTACATTAATACAAGCTTATTTATTATTATAGTTGTGACTTTTTGAGTAGCATCTTCTTAAATCGTGGTATTGACAACTGATAGCAGACAGCAGAGGCTAGTGAGTTTCCTTATCGTTTAGTAAGTTTATCACTGATGTTCATGCTTCGGACTTTGGAATGCTTTATTACTACTCTATTTATCACTATTTGGATGTATTCATGTAAATGGTAGATCGTAGATGTCCATTGTCTACTTCTCATCATATTATATTTACATATTATTTACATGATATTAATACATTATAGATCCTTATTTATTTCTAGACTTGTCAGGTCATTTGCTAACTTCATCAATGTTGTTTATTTAGTTTTTCTATTTCTATTTCAATTTGTTTATATTTTGTATTCTACTTGGGTAGGGAGTTCTAAATTATTTATATCATTTAATTTTGTAATTGCCATTTGAGTGCTTGGCTTAAGTTGTAAATTGTCGGCTGTGTTTGTGTAACTACTGCCAATATTCTTGACACCACTGTTCGACGTTAGTCATTAATAATAGACACCTACTTAGAAGTAAGTTTTTATTTATTAAATAATATCATGTTTGTATGTTATGATGTAATTTTAATATTTTATATTAATTCATTAACATAATAATATTTGACCTTCATAATAAAACACTTGATGAAAAATTTGTTGTAAATTAGAGGAAAATAAATATGTAAATCACTGATTGTTTTGAGACTAGCACGCCTATTAGGTATGATAGTTATTACTCCTTTTTATAGGGTGGCGGTGGTTTTTTTTAAATTAACATTTGAGCCACTTGGAAAAAACTTTTTAAAACAAAATGTACATAACTGTAGGTTGCCTATGATATGAAATTGTTTTGCAATTTTTCGTTTTTCTCATTACAATGTACAAGTTTTTTCTATAGCACTCTTGTTTTATGTTAAACAATTTCAATCATTGACAAATTTCTTATAAGCTATTTTGTGGGCAGTTTGTGGTGTCAAACAACATAAAAATAAATTGGTTTGGCACATTACTGAATAAAAAAACCAATACTTCTATATTATAATACTTTTTTTTTAATATTGATTTTTATCAATTTAATTTTCTGGAAAATATTCCTTTTTTTAATATTTATTTTAAATTAAATGACAGTATGTACTTACCTATGATTGATTAAGCAACTATAAATAATTAATTTTTTTTTTTTCATAGGTACCTAGTTAAAATGGATCTCAAGATTGTTTCCAGTAATAAAAGTTTTGGTGGCTACCAGAAAGTATATGAACATTTTAGGTAAATTATTTAAACATGACTAAATATTATGAATTTAATTTTTCACTAAATTATTTTAATTTTTCAGTCCTACATTGCAATGTAACATGAAATTTGGCATTTACTTACCTCCGGGAGAAAGTGAAAATGAAAAATTTCCGGTATTATTTTACTTATCGGGTCTTACATGTACTGAACAAAATGTTATCACTAAAGCAGGATTTCAAAAATATGCTGCTCAATACAAAATAATTGTTGTTTCTCCTGACACTAGTCCTAGTAAGTTTATTTTCTTTATGGTTGAGCCAATACATTTGAAAGAAGTAGTTCATTTTTTCATCACGGGAATAATACAAGTTAGAAAATTAGAATCCTTAAAACTATGATATTAATACATTTTATATTAAATCTGAGATAAAGACGAATATAAACTTTGCGAGTATGCGATTAAGGATGGTAAGGTAAAACATTTCAAATAAAAATAAATTTTATAAATATTTAAGTTCTATTAAAAGTAAATCAAATATTAAAACCAGATTTGGTTAATTATATCATTATATCATACAATTCATACTATTTTGGTTGTAATTGAATGTAATTATTATAATAATTACTATATAAATTGGTTTAACTAATTTGAATTTTGAATTTTTAAAGGAAACTGTAACATCCCTGGTGAAGATGATAAATGGAATCTGGGGTCTGGGGCTTCTATGTATGTAAATGCTACCCAAGAACCATGGAACAAACACTATCAAATGTTTACCTATATAACTGATGAACTCCAACAACTTGTATTAAAGAGTTTCCCAATTATTCAAGAAAAAATATCTATTTTTGGACATAGGTATAGATATATAAATATTACAAAATAATACATTATGATAAATTATATTGGAGAGCTTTAATTGAGAGACTGACCGATTGATATGATTGAAAAAATTTCAATAAATGCCCTTGGTTTTTTAAAATTTAAAAAGTATAGATAAGTATATAGTAATATAATACCATTAAATTTATAAAATATAAATGAAATATTCATACTCTATATTAACAACTAAGATATTGATATATTATGATGTGGAATATGAGTAAACTAATACTAACTAGGTAGGAATATATTAATTTAGAATATATAACTGAAATACAAAATATGAATACTGATATTATACAATTATGCATCAAACTCTTGTAAATTATAAATAATAACATACAAGTTAATTTTCATAATTACATATTATTAAATTAAATTGACAATTTATGTATGAAAATTGCAAAATAAAAAAAATTGGACATTGGCATCCATTATGCATGACAACAGAATCAATAGATGCCAATAGAAAATGTTAAAGTGTTGGCCACTCTGCTACATTAAGGCTCTCCTGCTAAGTGTTTTTTAAACAGTGTTCCTCTTAGCGGTTTTATTATTAAAAACTTCTAATGTCTTTTTTGACCAGTTGTTAATATTAATTTTCACGAGGGTTCAGCATAAAAAAAAATATTATTGTTTGGTATTCTGTGATCTCAAAAAGTTTAAGAAACACTGGTCTAGCTTAATGATTAAAATTATTATGATTATTTTTATTTATAGCATGGGTGGGCATGGAGCATTATTATGTGCTTTACTTAACCCAGGCATGTATAAATCAGTGTCATTATTTGCACCTGTTTGCAATATTTCTAATTCGCCCACATTAATTGATGGATTGAAAACATTAATTGGAGAGGAAGAGGAAATTCTGCAAAAATGGGATACAACATTTTTAGTAAAAAAATATGATGGCCCCGAATTAGAAATATTAATACATGTGGTTAGTATTTATATTAATACAATTATAAAAATGTATAGACGTATAGTTATAACTTACAATAATAATAATTTCTGAATTTAAAATTTACAGGGTACTGATGATGAATTTTTAACAAAAGATTTACTAATTGATAATTTTGTGAAAGCAGCCAATGAGTGTAAAGATAATAAAATCAAGACTAAAGTATTTCTTGAAGATGGTTATGATCATGGATATTATTTTATATCAACATTCATTGAAGAGCATTTTAAATTTCATTCATCTAAATTATCTTTGTAATGTAATTTTACATTTATTTTTTTTTAAATAAAATAATTTCCATGAATGTTATTAAACTGTTAACAATGTATAATTAATATTTAATTAAATACTTAATTTATCCCTTAGGCCAAACAATTTAATAGGGAAATATAAAAGCACCCTCCTAAACAATTAAATAGCTATATAATTAAATAAACTCTTAGTTTTTATACTAAAACTACATAGCACATACCCATAGAAATGTCAAATTCTTAACCTGGGTAATGTGTTATGAATATTAATTTTACATGTTAGTTTTCTAATTAATTGTATTGTTCAAAGATCAAATGTATTTCATTTCTGTTATTTTCTTAACCAACTATAACCATTTAAAACATAATCAGTTCATTAATTTATTAAAAATAATTAAACTATATTTACACATCAGTATGGCACTGTCCAATTTTATTTTATTTTCAGTTTTCTCATTTTTAAAGATTATTTATGTGTATCAGGCATGTCAAACATATAGATCGCATGCTGCTCTCATTTACTTATGGCTCGCAGATAGCAATATTGATCAAAAATTACTTGAAAAAAAATGACGCAATTATCCTTTTGTTTTATAACTATGTCAGTGAGAGATATACATTATGTTACTTTTTCTATCTTATCTTAACTGTAATTGAACAAGTATGGTACAGGATTGTAAGTAATGAATACAATTAAAAATTTGTATACAATTTTTTTTTTTGATACATTTTTATGGCCCTCATAGAAAACTATTCATTATATTTGGCCCAGTTAATTCTTTGAGTTTGACATGCCTGATGTATAGTATTATAATATTATAACAGATTGTACTTCACGGTCCTTATAAGTAATAAAAATACAAGGTACTATTGTGATATAATTACATACATACAAATAACTTGAAATCTGAAATTTTCACCAAATGTTTATGTGACCATACCAGATAAATTCAAAAAATATTTTTACTTCTTTTGAACTATTTATAAGCAAAAAAAATATTCATTTTTATTTATTTTTTTAAAAATTATTATTGATGAAAAAATATTTGCTCTGTCAAATAACTTGAAAATGTATAACAAGTGCCACATACATTTTTATAATAAAAGTTCAAAATTATTAAAGATATGTATGAGCGTTTGAAGTTTAAATTTTGACGAAATTCGTTAAAAACAACAATTTTAAAATTATTTTGTGCCTTATACTTAAAAAGTTATAAAATGTTTCATTTATTTAGTTCATAATATAACCAAAAATCTAGAAACTGTATTATTAGGTTAACAGTTTCTTTTATAGACATTTAAAATCCAACCTAACGAAATTAGAATCTGATGCTTAACACTTTAAACAAAGAATAATAATTTATTTTAATTATTTTGTTATAGTTCAAAAATATTGGTGGGTAAGTAGATAGTAGGTACCGGTGCTTAAATACTTTAAACTATTAAACTTTACCTACCATAATTATACAAGTATAATATTTTATTAATACTATTATATTTTATACACACAATTTTCAAATGCAATGTTTACGGCAAAAGTTAATTTAACCTACAGACTTAGTAATTAATACCTATACTACCAAGTTCCAAGTGAAATAAATAAATAAAGTGTTTAGGTAGTAAATATATTTATATATTTATTGCTAAGTACTTATAATTTATCCCTTATATCATAGAAATATCCAAAACCACCAAAACGCTAATATTTGTGTTAGCTATGTGTCTATGAATTTCAACAACAAATATATAAAATATAAATAGTAGTACACATATTTTGTACCTATCAACGAGATTTAAATGCACACCTTGTTATAGTTTCATCCCGCCGATTACGCCATTGAGATATAAGCTGCTATGGTCTAAGATCATCCTATCTTTGAGATTTTATCTAACATAATATAGGTGCCTACCTAAATCTAACTTTAGGTATAAACAAAGGTAAATAGAAATTATATTATGTTAAAGTTATTATGTTGTGTATGGTGTACCTATGGGTTAGGTAGTTAGGAAGGTACCTACTTACTAGCATGGCTGGGCATTCACGAGTTAAAAGTTACAGTTAAGTTCCTTTTAACTAAGTTAGGTACTTAACGATTTACTTTTATTTTCATAAGTAACTTCTAAGTTACAGAGTTAATTTATTTTAAAGTTACATATATTTATCTTTACATAAATTCCATAGATTTAAAATTTTCATTTTAATTTCATTTTCATACATACTGAAAAAAATTTTTTTCCTGAAAAATCAATTATTTTTATGTTATTACTTATTTTCTTCTGTATTCTAAATAAGTTCTAAATTGTTAACTGTCTGCACAATAGTGTTTTGCATTATTTCTGTACCTACTTGAGATTTCAATAGTTATTAAAATAACGTAATAACCTATAAACTGTCTATACCTATAAAGTGTTTGAAACGATTTACGAGCCAATTTTGTCCAGTCTTGTCTATTAGTGTACTACACGTCTACACTCTAGTTTATATCTAGGTACCGGTATTAACATAATTTAATATGTGAATAATACATGTATATAGTCATACTCGTATAGATATAGACTTTTAAAAGTTAAAACCATTCTACATAATATTATTATGTTTAGGCAAGTTTATGACGTGAATTCATGATAGAACATGATAATAATAAATGTAAAATGGTAATTTAGAATTGGGACCTTCAGAAATACTTAGGTAGGTACCTATATGTAAATTAACACCAAATGAACTACCAAAACAAACAATTATTTAAAAGGAAACTAAAATATTATTTACAATAATAATTGAACTCAGTAGTGACTGGGAAAGGTATAATAAACTTTTGTACTAGATATATTACATTTTATAGCAAAAATGTTCACCTATTCTCGCTGTGATCGACAAAAACAAACAGGGTCAGGCTCTGTGTATGCATTATTTAATTATATATGTATATATCAGTGTCTGGAGGGGGGTCCAGACCCCATGGACCCCCCCGTAAATCCGCCACTGCTGCTGATTACCACTCAGCTCTTTTTTTTCCGGATAGAACCAACTGCAGCAGAGGAGGGTCTGTTAGCACAATGCTGCTCTTCTGCTGCCATCGTTTATTAATGAATAACATTTAAGACATTTAAACACAATTCTGTACAAACGACCACTCAGCTCTTGCCTCTTTACGCTATGCATATTGATTAATTTTGTTAGTATAATATGTGAAACGGTCATATAAAATATTTTGTAGGTAAAGCAACGACGATTAAGAGATTTCTTACAACTGCAGAAGCCACTAATATAAGCTGACAAGAATAAATTATGAGTTTAAAGAACTAATAATATAAAGTATAAATGGTCAAAATATTTACTTCGATTCCTACAGTATTGTTTTATAATGTTTCCGTAATATCGAGCGTCATCGATCTCCAATATTTTTTAGACATGAAATTATTAAAATGTATTATAATATTATTATAGCAAAAAAAAATTTGTAAATTATTTACCACTCCTTGGCCATAGGCGCAACTAGAGATATTTTCTGAGGGGCTAGAATAATTGTACCAGTAGCATAGACCCTCATAACTAAAATAAGATTAAAATACCAGGGTGGCGCTATGGATAAAGCTGGGGGTGCCCGGTCCGCCAAGCCCATCCTCTTGTTACGCCTATACCTACCCTTGACAAGTGCCACTTTGGGGAATTTCCCACCCAAGCTTCTGTTCTTACTTCTCATAAAGGTTAGGTTAGGTCTATCACTTACAACACTACAATAACGCCATGTCCCATTTAAGTTGCGTAACCACGACGTAACCACGTTGTAACGATGACGAATTCGAGCACTAACGATTACTGTGAACAGAACCTTACGTCCGATGTGATGAAATACAAGCTATTTTTCGCATTCGTCATGTTTAGGTAGGACACATAAATGAAATATCGTACGTCGTTTTATAATATTTTATATTATTTTTTTATTATTTTTTTATTTACCCACATATAACTGATTCATATTTTACCGATTTACTTGTACGAAGGTTGAACTGTATTTTATTTGATTAGGTACCTATATACTTCGTAGTGTAGGAACCTATCATTTTATCTATTTTAGGCGATTTAAAATAAAGATGGGTCATAATACAGCGATGCAGCTGCAGCTATTAGGGCCAAATTTGTATTCGAATTTCATTATTTTATTCAATCAAAATGGACTATGGAGATACGGTTTGAGTGTTTTTCCTTGGTAGGTTTGTTTTATTAAACCTTGAATAATTTTTAATTTATTCAAACAAGTATTATTTATAATATATGTTAATATACCATAGCTCCCACCTGGCGTTGCCAGTGCCAACGACTTGTCGTTTTTTATTAATATATAATATTTTGTAAAAAAATGTAGATAGGTAAGTATGCAATATTTATACTATATTTATACTAATTTATTATTTTAGTAATAAAATAATATGTGATTAATGTCAACCATTTAAATAAACAAAAAAATTCATGTGAGAGCTGTAGAGTTGTATTTTGGGTAGTTTAGTAGCTATATGTGGCAAGCACCCTCCAAGTCTCAAGTAATCTATCGATATGACTTTTGTTAAAGGCTGTATAGTAGTTGTTGAGTCTATATGAGCTGTACAACCCAACTTTTTCAGTGAAAAAATGAAAAGATATAGTGTTAAATATAAAATAGGTGTTCCTCGGTTTTAAAGTAACACACCATTTCACGGGTAAATAGGCGTCGGCGTAAGTTTATTACAATGAACGACGGCGACACGCCGCCGTTTATTATTATTAGAAAATATGATAATTTTAAAAACCAGAGCATTTTAACTACCCCCAAATATTAATGATAAAAAAAAACACACTCCATTGTAAATGAAATACATTTATTTTTGCATTTAATTCGCTGCAATCTTTTATACATCACGTGTCTTGTACTTTACGTCAAAATGCTGTAATTTACCACTAATTATTAATCTAATTTATTAAATTTGCATAATATTGAATATTCTATCAGTATTAATTATAATAACTATTACTCTTTTCTTCCTACTTTTATAATAATTATACTGTTTAGTTTATTTGGCTAGACCCGTTGATATAAATTAATAATGATGGTTGATAATTAGAGCTCGGAAGTTGATAACCTTAAAACAGTTAAAAAGCGGCCTAAAAAATTAAAATATTCATGAAAATGACAAAAAATGACGAAAAATGACATAAAAAATAATATAATTAAAATACCTAGTAATTGGTTTTTTACAAAATATTTCTAAAATAGTGGGTTGATGCCAGTTTTATATAAGTGAATTTATCAATTTCTTTATTTAAATAATCGTCAAAAATATTTGATATATATATATTTTTTTAATATCACATATTCTTATTGTCCCTGAAGGAACAAATTGTATATATCTTATAAAAAATATTTTTTTAAATTTATAATAATTTTTATTTTTGTTTGTTTTATTTTATAAAAAATATTTTTTTAAATTTATAATAATTTTTATTTTTGTTTGTTTTATTATTGTTAAGCCTTCTTATGGTATTATTATTATGTAAGAATCAGTTTGTCTATGTTCTTTAAATGTTCTACTTGAGCAATGTAATTTTGTTATGGGTGAACTGCAAATTATATTTATTTCTAAGATTGCTAATAAAATATTAATGTAAATGTAAGCATTTAATATTTTGTTATTATTAAAATAAATAATTATAAATATTCAGCGGATTGATAGCGGGCGGAATCAATATTATGCAATCAAATTCGGCGGAGTTGAGACGAGGCGCAATCGATAGATTTCTTACAGTTAAAAAGGTCATTTCGGCGCAATTGATATATTGCACATTTATTTATTTAATTGTGATTAGGTTCCTACCTACCTATCCTAACAGTTCACACTGTTTAAAACTAGAATAATTCGTCATTTAAATATAATGTATTATGTATTATTATGTATATTTTAGTAATTGATAAGCTATCATAGTTTTATACAAAAAAAATTTCTTCATTTTATATTGAGTATGTTGTTATGCGGTGGCGAAGCAAACTTGACATTTTTCAGACGTTAATCTAATATTCTACTTTTAATATGAGTTACCTATTTTAAAATCAATGCCTATTCTAACCGAATAAACCGATATTACATCAATCGGTTTAATAATCACCACTGTGGGGTTTAGTAGGTTTTTTTGCGGTTATTCGATTAACAGATTTTTATTATTTATATTATTATTTCATGTATTATTAAAATCAATTTAAAAGATTTTCTCCAAGACAAATGCCAGTTGTAAAGAACAGGAAACTGAAAGAATAGAAGAGAATTTTAACTGTGTTGTTGAGGTTTTATTTTTTCGATAACACCAATGTATCAAAAGTTATTTCAGTTTGGAAAACTTAAAAATATCAAATTGTTAAAAGTATTATAACTTTTTTCTTATTAATGATATCAAACAAATAAAAACGCTACGACACAGAAAACGTGATCTTCTATTTTGTGTACACTTTTGGTGTATCTACAAGGACTACAAACTAAGTGCTTCTATCCTCCACAAAACAGTTTTTGCTAGGTTGTACATTTGTAAGACAACACATAAGGGTGATGTGGTATCCTTTTAATAATATGACGTAGTATTCACTATTTTTATCATTATAATATAAAATATTATATACATTTTTTTTAAAAGAATATTTTTATAATTATACAAATTAAAAAATGAATTATTTTCACTTAAGTGTATACTTTTAAAATTGATTGCACATATTAAAAAATGAATTACTAACACTTGCGAGTAGCAAACTGAGTGTTTGCTCATATTATGGTGTGAACAGTGAACACTATAAAGTGTTCACACGCCAGGACCCTAAAAAATAAGCAGTCATTTTTCCCGTATACGGTGTTGGGGTTTAATGCTAAAATATTCCCCTTTTTAAGAGCAAACCAAATTTAACTTCCTGAAGCAAAATGTATGGTAACTGATAAGACAAATCACAGGACGTATGTTGCCAATGTGATAATTAGTAAAAGATAGGTAGGTATCTGCAGGTATGATGTATAATATAGGTATAGTTGATTAATATAAATTTACCTAATATAATCTACTGTCAATATGGCCATATGAGTAGGTATATACTGTAATATACTAGGTAGATTGTTACTACCAGGAAGACCTTATAGGTAAGACTACGTTCGTAAGATACTCGATATATAATATAAAATCATAGAGATGAGACTATAAAAATAATTAAATGGCTTTTAAACTATTGGTTTTATTATATGTGAAATTGATATCGATATGTAATAAAAACAAAGATCTACCATAATATCTGGTAGGCTGTTGCCCTGAACTCTTCAGTGGTGTATTTATAGGACTTTGCTGCCCTGGGTACATATTTTTTTTAAATGTATTCTTCCCTCGACCAGTTTTTTTATAGTGACAATTTTTCTCACCAGGATAATTTCCCCCCCTCCATGCCCCCCTAAACCGTCCCGGAAAATAAGTTAAAATAATATCAAGATATCTATGTTTGAAGACATAGTGATCGTATTAGAACTATAGTCTTTTTAGAGTGCAGATCAATTCGGATCAATTACACTAATTATTCTATTATTTCGATTTTTGTATTATTCATTTAGCAAAATTAATATATTTTTACCTCGTTTCTCACACTATACCTAAATACTAAATAGGCATGGGAAATATACTATTATGTACAGCCGTACAGGTAAATGGGCTGCAAACATTTGTACCTACTATAATATGACGAGTAAATTATTTATAAACGATGATCGATAGTGACGATAGTTGTGTAACTATTGCTATTTATTACTATATAGTATATATTTATAAATAATTATAATATTTAATAATATCAAAAAGCAGTATTGATCGCGTATTCCGCTGACCACGCTACTAGGTCAACTGGGGCACTGGGCTGCCTTATTATTATTATTAGTATTAGTATTATTATTATTATTATTATTATAGGTCACAAGCGGCGGCGTACATACCGATGGCTTGGCATTCCGCGAGACCGTGACACGATAAAAGTTAATCGCCATTCGGCAAGACACATTATTACTATACAAGTCTACCACGGACTACGGGGCTCAGGAATTGGGCCGTAAGTCGGGCCCCGCCGTTTGTCGCCGGAAAACATCGTCGTGGCACCGTGGCACCGCAGTTGACACTCGACGTCCGTCGTTCGTGAATCGTGATAAACTCACATTAATTACACGGATCGTTCACGCTGCGGTTGCCTCGTAGATAAGTTAAATGTTAAATTAATATACGCTGTCCGCGTGAAGACGGCGGAAGTGTAAAAACGATTAGTGAATTGCGATTTTAGTGGCGTCCGTATTTTAATTTTTTAACGGTTATTGGTGCTGTCGACGTTGCCCTTACGTCATTATTGCGTTAACCGGTTTTCACGTATCGATCGACAGTGCGCGCGCCGAAAAGATACGCCACCTGACAACGATCCGACGACGTCATAATTTTTCGCACGACCTCGACGATTCAGTGCGCCGGTGCCGCGGTACACCCACCGTCGGGTCCAGCAGGCGCCAGACAGCGGTCCTGTTCACGCAGTCGGCTCAGTCGAGTTCCAGCGGCGCACGTTGCCGCACCAGGGACAGGATTTTTGTCGGTGCTCCAACAACATGAAGCAGCAGTTGGACTTGGTGTCCGATAACCGCTGTTTCGGCGGACAACAAAAGGTCTACGAACACGACAGGTCAGTTGCGCAACGCTCTGCGTCGTATCATTATATTGTACACACTAAGTATATACTAAGTCTTGAACCTGTGTTGCAGTAGTTGCATTATTTTTAATTACTATAGCCTATAAGTACCTTAGGTATGTGCTGGGTTGTAATGTTTTTTTTTTTTTTGCTCTTGGCACGTAGGTATCCTTTTCTCTCTGACATTTCTCAATAGGTATCGATTGGAACTCACGACGAAACAAAAGAGTCGTATTATGACTTTTTGCAGTTTATTGCACATCAATTCTCCAATAATTTACTATTCAACGTATAGGAAACTACATATAAAAATTATATTATCGTGATATTTTCTTATCAAAGTGGCACTACGATAATGCATGAATATTATCTCATCAAGATTACAGAACGTCAGTTCCTATTAAGTTATCACTTTCACACTCATTCTCTCTTTCTATCTCTCTCCTCTTTCTCCTACATAATAAGTGAATTTAATAATAAATAAAAATTATATCATAGTCATAGTCTAATGGTCCCTAATGACAGGTTGTATACAAATTAGATAATTGATAATTTAATGCATAGAAATTGTTTGACAACTATGCATAATATTGCTAAGTAGTTATAAATTATCATTTTATTTAGGTAAATTTGTTTATTATTGCCTTCCTAGTTAAATACTATAGGCCCCAACATATTATTATGAGTACCTAGGTACTCATACGTATTATGTAAATAAAATCGATGTAAATACTCAACGTAATAATAATAAAAACATTGTTAGATATGTTTCATGGGGCCAAACACGAACATGCTCTAGTGGGGCCCATTATTCCGTTGAAACAAATTTAAATACAAAATAAAAAATGCATAGGTATATAAAAAACATATATACCCCAAATGAACCTATATGTATCTGTAACATATCTGTATAATATGATTTGTGTGTTGAACGTACCTAACGTAAAATACAATAACCGTGGTGAAAATTATATACCGAATATTATTGTCTCCAAATAAATCACAAATTAATATTTAGTAATCTAGAGACTATATGGTTGGTAGCTCCAACGGACTAAGATAGAATGGATTAGTCTCTAGAGAGTAGAATAAAGAGCCTTATCACAAGACATTTGGATGGCTTAGATAAAGATTATCTTTATTATCTGTGTTCGAGGGTCCGAAAGATGTGGCACGCATTTCAGCTCCATCTATACGTATATATAATGAAAAGAGATGGCGTTCGTAACTGGCATCTGGCTTGGATAGTTGGATCTTGTATTGATTTAATTCTGGATTTAATCGAGGATTTAATGTAATATACGGATGGTTTTAGATTCTGAGCGTAGCAATGAATTTATTGTATTTACAATGATGTGTGTGTGTTTTTTTTTTATTTGGCATCAACATTTGGGGTAGGAAACATGTGCCGATTTTCAACATCAGCATATTTTCTGAGAGAAAACTGAATGTAGTTGGTGCATTGAGGAGATCAAAATTGAAAATCCCCATTAGTTTTGAAAACGTAGGGAAAAACAAAAAAATATTAATTAAAAAATCAAAACTTATTAAAAAAAAAAAACGGTTTTATTTTTCTGGCTCAACTCAAAAACTACCATAACTATAGACACTTCAACATTTCACAAACTATTTATATTAGTATTTTCTATGTTTATGGTTATATTTTCGAAATATTTTTTTCTGAACTATTCATAACCTTGAGAATTTTTTTTAAAATTTCTGTCGATAAAATATTTTCCACTCAGTAAAAAAGCTTGAATATTTAATGTGAGGGTCGTCATAAGTTACTTTAATAGCATCTAAAAAATATTAAAGATATAAAGCTATTTTTTATATGAACTTATAGTTAATGTTGACAACATTTCTCTAAATTCCGAAAATTTGAGAACTATTTTTCAGTTGGGAATTAATACAAATTTTATTTTTATAGCTAACATTAGAAACTTTATCTGAAGATTCCCAAAATTGTTTTCTAGCATATATAAAAAAAAAATTTATCGGACAGTTTTTTATGAGCGTTTAATTTTAAATTTTTTACAATATTTGATTTTTTCGATTTTTAGTTATTAAATTTAATTATTGATACACGTATGCCAGGATGACATACCGTCTCTACTCAGAATCATATTTCGCACGGAATGATTTATCATTGAATTTAATTCAAACACATCCACTGCAGTAAGATACTCGGTGTATCTACTGTAGAACATTTCGGTACCCACTTGTCCATATTTATTTTTAATAAATAAATAACTAAATTGCAATTAAATTTGTATTTATATATTTATTGCAATATTGCATAAATTTAATATTTTTTGACCAACCTAGCAATAATAAAGGTAGAATTGTTGAAGGTACAGTTATAACTTATAACTTATAAGCTATATGGTATAATTATTATTAAGCCAAATGAAACTTAATTGTCATTCTTTAACTAATTACTTATGTTCTAGTGATTTCTCAAAATCGAACAATGGTTTCATCTATCCGGATGCCTTAATTATTGAATTGCATACTTGCATAACGTATATGATTTCACTTTTTCACATTGATTGGTAAAATAGAAAACATCATAATATAATGATAGAAAGTAAATAATATTTTGGGCTGGTAGTATCTATATAATTATATTATGTTAGAAAATATTAAAAGTATTTAATTGTATTTATTATTTTATTTTAATTTTAAAATTTAATGAATTCACCAGGTATAAAATAAATTAATGTTACTTATATGTATGTACTTAGTGCATATAATATACTCGTATATTATATTTTATTTCACAGTTTAAGTAACCATCTTTAATGTATACATCTATTTTTAAATATATAGGTAGGTACCTACTACCTTGTGTGTTGTTATTAGGACGTCCTGGACGTACAATGACATTTATATAGTTAAGAGAAAAAGCGCACTGTTCTGTCTGTTCTTGAACTTAAAGATTTTAAGAGGAACACTGCCATCTAACCAGTATTTGAAATGTTAATAAAAAAATTAATTCGTTCAGTGAAAAAGATTAGTTCATAACAAGGTTCCTTAGAAAAATGAACGTTATAATATTTTTATATATTGTACAATGTTAGATATTTAGGATCTTTTCTATTATCTGCCACCACTATTATTTCCATTATTTTTGGAGGTGCACCAGTCATTGCGTCATACCATTTCTTCTGGATTGATAAAAATGCATTATCAGTTTTTGTTGCATAATTCTTAAAGCAAAAAATATTTAAAAATAATCACAATCTAAAAAATGTTCGAAATCCGCGTTAGTAAAGTTTTATTCTCAATCACTTATTTTTAAACTGGCGAACTATATTTAAATACATATTCAACTATAAATATTATAGCTGTACATAGGCTCATAGCTAAGATAACTTCGTAATGAACACTAATTACTATTGTGATTGCACAAACATATTTAAATACGGCATAACAATGCAGTTTAGCTCGCAGACAATTTTTGGGAATTTTTTCCGGAAACCTATGTATTCAACGTGTTAAGAACAATGTTGCAATCAGAATTTGTATATTTGTCGGTCAGACTTGGTTTCAAAGTTAAAACTTTTTGAAGTTTAAAATTTTGGGATTCTTATGCTTACACAGATTATTCCACAAAACTACTCAAAAAAAGTAAATTGTAAAACTTTATTAAATAGTATGTAGGCAGTTATCTATTTTAATTAGTGCATGCATTTATACATGTACCTCCTTCGGGCTATACTTACATTTTAAAGATCACAATGAGAGGTTTTCATGATATAAAGTATAAACCAACATTTTTTTTAGTGGGATGGGATCTAAATGTTTCAATCCCCACCCCCACCACTAACCATTAAATTACGCCATTTCTTCGAGAAATATTCATTAATTATTGAGCTTTAACGGATGTACATTTCTATTATTATCAATGTTATCATTATAGTTATTATTACACACATCGAAAATTCAATAGAATAATAGGCAAAACTATTTAATTCTTCTAAATGTGTTTGTACATCCTTTTATTTTATAAAAATCTTTAGAAATTTGTTAACAAATAAAAATGTAAGTATATTATTTTGTATTAATTTATGATTTATCGTACTAGTTTTTGACAAAATCGATTTTCTTATTTTGTTGTACCTAATTAAAAATTGAATAACCGTAAATACTTGAAATATTCACCAAATGTTTATACTAGAATTTTACATACGTTTAGAAAATTTCCTTTTATTTGTAAAATGTCAAACATCTAAAGGATTAAGAAGTAGGTATACTTATATTATAGTATAATAACTTATACGTCTTAACCGTTATAAGCAGGGCTCGGGACTTTATGTGCTTAAAATCTTAAAAATATGCGCATACATATGCACCAAAAAATATCAAAATATGCGCTTTAATATGCATTTATTTTTAATTAAAAAATACATAATTATTCAAATTTAATTTAAAAAAAAACATTTCTTGTACATATTACTAAAAATGTATATTTTATACATACTATATTACTAAAAAAAAAAATGTAAAAACTGTTGAATGGGAGGTCTTTGGATTTTTCAACACTCAGCATCTTCTATACCTAGCAATTATAATTTTTATGTATTAAAAAATAATCATTTTATAATTCTAATTATGTACTTACTTGCGTTACACTGGATTATCAAATGTTTTTTTATGTTCTCGACTTTGAAAGACCTTCTATTATTTGTAAGTAAAGTTTTATAGGCGGAAAATGATCTTTCTACGTTTACCGATGTGATGGGAGCATATTTAAAATATGTCAGATCATTAATATCTAAGTCTTCTGGTAAGTCTTTCATGTCAATTAATTCACCGTTAAGAATGTTTTTAATTTTCTTTAGCATAGCAAGACCAACATTTTTCTTCAATACATTATGATTTAAGAGTAAATAATCAAAAGTTATTTTAAAATATGCAATAAAAATCAATAAATATTAAAAATATGCATTTGTAGAAAAAAATTCCAAAATATGCAAACATATGCACAATAAACTTTTAAACTTTAACTCTAAATACCACAACACAAATTTGTATCGGATCAGTTTTATTCTATTTACTTCCCGAACAAATATGCAAATGCATAAAGTCCCGAGCCCTGGTTATAAGTTATAAGTAACAATAAGTAAACATAAGGATCGTTCTCTGTGAATACACTCTTGTTAAGTAGGTTATTAAATTTTACCATGTTTATAGGCTATATAAATTAAATTAGATAGCTAAAATAAGTCGAGTGTTTAAAATATTTCATAAAGATTTAAACAGTAAAAAAAATACTAAATTATTTAGTAAGTATGTACTAGGTATGGTAAATAAATTTCATTATTAAGTACTAATTATAATAGGAACTTACTTTTATTGTATTTATTTCACAACAATATTTCTAAAATGTGTTATTAGATATTAGTATATTACCTACTTATTTTAATTAACCGAAATGTGCTATTTTTATTTTTAGTGCCGTGTTAAATTTCCGGATGAGATTTGCCGTGTATGTACCAGAAAATTTGGAAGGACCTGCTCCAGTCTTATATCTTTTGGGTGGTATGTCATGTTCCGAACAAACTTTTATACAGAAGTCAGGGTTTCAACGATGGGCAGCACATTATGGAATAATCGTAGTGTCTCCAGATGTCTGCCCTAGTAAGGATATTTAATTTAATAATTATTGCAATAATAAAACTGATAGGTATCATAAATATTAACTTGTGTTCTCAGGGGTTACTTTTGGTGCTGAAAAGAATGAAATTGAAGCTAAAGGCTTGTCATTTTATGTAAATGCTGTGAAAAAACCATGGAACAGAAATTACCAAATGTATTCATATGTGAATGAGGAGCTACCCAGTATTATTCAGGAGAACTTTAATGTCAACAAAGACAGACAATCAATCATGGGCCACAGGTATATTTATAAGTATTAATTAATTCCTTATGTTTATCATTGTAATTGACAAGATTCTAATATTTAGGACTGTAGGAGGGGTAAGTTTTCATCATTGTAAAAAAGTTCTTTAAAATATGTTTTTAGTTTTACATATATATGTTAGGTGGGAGGTATGAAGTTATCAACAATTGAACCCTCCTTGCATACGGCCCTGTATCTAAATATTAAGTACTATTGTAAGAAGGGAAATTAGACATAGATTATTAATAATCATGTAGCTTAAACCAAGAAGATTAAGATCAGTTAAGTTTAAACATTAAGAATTTGGTTCTTTATAACATAATATGTTATGTATTATATATTATATACCTATTCATCAGTTATCGGTGTTAATACTCATTATGTTTTAATTCATAGTCTTATATTTTATTAAATTATTTTTATGTAATGCATACTATAATAAATAATAATATTTCAGTATGGGAGGTCATGGTGCATTAATAAGTGCACTTAAAAATCCTGGCAAGTTTCGTTCAGTCTCAGCTTTTGCTCCAGTTTGTAATCCGTCTAAAACACCCGATATACAATTTATATTAAAGTGTTATTTTGGAGATGATACAAAAACCATGGAGGAATGGGATGCTACCTGCTTAATAGCTGATTATAAAGGACCAAAGTTAAATATCCTCATACATCAAGTAAAGTTATATGAAATATTATATTAAAAATGTCTTAATTAATTTTTAAAAGTATATAATGTATGAATATTGAATAGCTATAATACGTACTAATTACATTTGTTTTTTTTTTTTGTAGGGGAATAATGATAAATACAAAGAACAATTAAAATTAGAAAATTTTGAAAGCGCTTGTGAAAAGGCAGGGATTGAAATTTCTATAAATTTAGAAGATGGATATGATCATGGATTTTATTTCATTTCAAGTTTTATGGAACAGCATTTTCATCATCATTCTAAATTTTTGTGTGACTCTTAATATTGGTTGAATTTGTTGTATTTTTACATAGTATTATACTCATATAATGAGTGGTGTGTCAAGACTTATATGTTACCTAAATAAACTTACCAAAACTTAATTTCAATTTGCATAATTAGAAAATATATGGACAAATGAATTACCCAAAATAAATAATAATTATAAATTATAGTGTTATTTTAATGCTACCAAACTATGTCATTATGATTCTTTCAAAAGTTTTTATTGTCTCTTGTCAGTCATTTTTCCTCATGTCAAAATATAATTTAAAGAATTTTCAGAATATTGAAAATTTACCTTTTAAAAAACTTTTCGATCAAAAGAATTTAAACAGAAGAAAATAGTGATAAAATTACATCGTTGTGAATTAAATAACTTTAGAGTTGTCCTATAAATCATTTGCAAATAATAACAATAGTTTTGTTTGATTACTTACAATTTACAATAGTGTAATTAACTAATAAAGACAAAGAAAATAAAACATTAAGATAATTAATGTTATAAGTTTCACTAATTCTTTTAGTATGATTCATTAAATGTATATTTCTCTTTAATTAAATGTCAATACTTATGTCTCATACTATTTTTTGTGCACTCTTAATGTACCAAGCTATACAAGTTGAAAACCACTTAATTTATCATAGTACTGAAAGTGTCTGAAACAAACTAAAAGTGATTGTTATTAGGCAAATGAAACTTCTTATTGATTAAACATACAAATATGTACTATTTAAAAAAAAAAAAATATAAAATGACTGATGTCTCTTGATACTTTCACAAACTATATGGAGTGAGATGTCCGTTTCAAGAGTAAGTCAAATTGTATGATATTCTACTTATTTCTTTGATTTGTACAATTTATTGGTCAATAGATCGTAACATTGCTAAATTAATTTTTTATTATTATTTTCTTGGATTCATACATTCACACCCAAATATCAAAGTGCAATATTATATTTTTCATTATTCAATAATTCAATATATTTTTTGTATAGAATATAAGAGTTCATTATAATATAATATGTATATATTAATATATTATGTTATATGACATATTATAGCTTTAATGCCATACTGTTTATTGATAATAATTTTATAATACCTATATAAAAATGTTTAGTATAAAATACAATCTGTTATGTTTTATTCTGAATCAGGAAGTTATTCTATTATTTTAGTTTAAATTTTGCATCACCGTGATTCTAATTTTTTTTCATATTTTATCATCAAATGTTAAAAAGGAAATTGTTCAATATCATTTTTATAATACATAACTATAAATTATTAACTTTGGTTCCAAAAAAAAAAAATACTTATATTAATGTACTTTTTCATAAATAGGCCATTAGAACAAAATATTGTTTAATTAATTTAATTTGATTCACAATAATATGGTTTTTATATAATTTTTATAATATACTTACTAGAATATTATCTTAAAAAAACACCAACACATTTTAACCACACCTCTTTTGAGACAGTCCTAAGTCTGTATGAAGTGGGAAGGAATTTGTGTTGTGAAAAATTAAAGCCGCCTGGGAATTGGGAATTTTGTTTGATTAAAAATTACATTAGTCACTAATTTATAAAATAAAAAATTAATATTTATTTAATCACAATGTAACACAGTTATGATATCAAAATGTGAAATATTTAGACCAGTGAGCAGTGGTCAGTAACCACTCTGCAAGCTCAATTACGATGTAGGTAAAAAGTATATTAGAATCTATAATAATAATAACCATGTTTCGGGACTTATAGTATTTGCATATTCATCATAGGTGACAAAACATAGCAATGTTATACAATTACGTCTTACAGAACCTACGGAGAATTCAAGTATGAAATTTTATTTTGCATATGTTTGCATATTTTAGATGTTTCTGCATATTTTTTTTCTTCCTAAGTCTATTATATGATAAGAGAGCCTTCCTCTTTGAAAACGTTCAAAAACACCTTATAGTTCAATGCTATCACAAATATTTTTTTTTTTAAATATTTTTGTATTAAATAAAGTTTTACTGACTTATACGTCATTTTACCTTATTGATAATCACAAAGGTAAACATTTTACTAACAACAAAAAATTGTTAGTAAATATTTACCTATACCTGTTATATACAATTATATAAGTGTATATTTTTTAATGAACATTCAAAACTCAATTTTTAAGAGATTTTATTTATTTTTTTAAAATTAAAATTTTTTTTATGCCAATTAAGCTATTGGCTACAACCACCTAGTACCTATGTATTAAGTAGATTTTATTTTATTTTATCGAGTAATCATTTTTGGGTTCATTGTATCGATAAAGAATTAAAACCATTCAAAAAACGAACTTAAACTCATGCTATCTACAACAATCACATTCAAACCTTCATAACTCAAATCATGAGAGTTCTGTATAGTGTTATAATTCCTATAATGTATTACCTATTGGAGACCTAAATAATACACCTGAAAAAACTTAACATGTATTACATAAAAAAAATATTTATTCATCTTACAAAGTTGCAGGCGGGTGCGGATTGATTACCTCCGATTTTGAAACAGTCGACTGTTCAGATTTTAGTAATGGTAAATGGTGATAGAATTATTAATTCATAATATTAAAAATTTTATTGTCGGCTTGCATGAACATTTTATCAATTTAATAGGCTAATCATGGGCCACTAAATCATGTTTAAGGGACCATTAGCTCACTATAAGCTCATATAAATGTTTAGTAATTGTTCATGCAACCTGGAAAATATGTGTATAATATTTATTTTATTTTTCTCCATAAGGCATGGATATTAATAAATAATACAGTTATAAAGTATAGATACCTACACTACCTATCTTTCTTCAAAATTGGTTTTATTTTATTTTTCTGATTTTCACTATTGACTTGTTAGTGATTGGGTTTGCATAGCACTAAAAATATATGGCAACAATACTAAAACTTAATCTTAGAAATTTTTGTCATATTTTTAACATTTTATTCTTCCCCTTTTCAGAAAAAAAGGGATTTTTTTTTTAAATTTATTTATTTATATTTATTGCTAATTAGTTATTAAAGAAAACAATTAAACAAAATTACATATTCACTATTTATATTTTTTTTATTGTCTTATTATATTATCATATTTTAAAATTTTAAATGTTCGCACTTTTATTGTTCGCTAGCTAATGAGGGTAAGATAGAAATACTAGAAAGACGATATTATGTAATACCTATCTAATAGATTCCTATGTAGCTAAGTTAAATATTTATTCATTAAAAAATTACGTACCTGATAATTACTCGCCATCTTCAAAAGCCAATAGGTAGGTAGTTGTAATAGGCGCATATTAATTCTAAAATTTTAACAGCATTGTATTGTCATTGGTATATTATAAAGAAGTACAAATGCTCACATCTTTTTTCAATAGTCAATACTTTATTTAACTATTTTAACTATAGGTTATCTAAATTATTATGAGTTCTATATTACACAGATTCAACAGTTGCATCACAAACACACTATTTTTGTGCGTTCGGGTTTTAACTGGATGTAAGTATGGGTGGGTAGCTCCTATAATATGTGCCCTTATGAGTTATGGATAAAAAGTTCGTGACCCCCCTGGGCTTCATTAAATATTTATTTTATGCCATGTATATATCTAACGTTAGCCAAGTACAAAAGTGTAGTTTCATACAATGTTATCATAGCTGTTATCTCGGGGGACCGAACTGCTCGATGGTAGTGTATTCATGGTTCAATATCATTATTGATTGACAACCCAGGTTGGAACAAACATTTGTCAATATTATTTGTTAATACCCATGTTAAATGTTTTGTGGAATAAAAGTTCATCGGAACATTCGGAACAGAATATGTATTGTGGAACATCGAGTACAATTTAGATATTTTGGATAAGTTGGAACAAATAGTACCTGAAAAAAATTACTCTTGTTCCAAAAAAATTATGATCCTGGTTTTTTAAGATCCACTAAATAATTGTTCCGAGAGATTTTTTTCCACAAAATATTTGTCCCGAAAGACCTTAGTTCCACAAAACACTTGTTCTGATAGACTTTTGTTCCTCAAAATACTTGTTCCACGTCAGGAACATGATTTTGTGGAGCAAAAATCCATTGGAACACGTGTTTTGAGGAACAATATTATGCAATGTCCAATAATATTACGATAATATATTAATATTATTATCAATTATAAAGATACCACATTATCACAGAATATTGTGTGATATTATCATATCATTCATATCTAATATCATAGAAATATAAAAATAATATTTTTTGTCAATTTGTCATGTCTAATATGTTTTATTGTTTTTTAATATATCTGTGCAAACAACACAACCCAACGGAAAAATTAAAATCACAACGCTGATATCGAGTATATAGGTGACTATAGGTAATAGAACAATATGCGCAGTCCGTTATGTTATATTATGCCCATGTTCCGCCATGGATATCACCTGTTCGCGGTCTGTCCGTCATTGGGTCGAGCAGTTCACACAGTCAAGTTCCAGCAGCCACGACCGTACCAGGACCAGGTTAGTCAAAGATTGTGTGGGTCACGTCAGTGGTCCAATAACACGAAGCAGCAATTGAAGGTGGTGTCGGACAACCGCTGTTTCGGCGGACAGCAAAAAGTTTTCGAACACGACAGGTCAGTGGTAACTCACAGCTCAGTGGTGTCATTTGATGGGGTCAAAGTGAGCATTTGCCCCTGTGGCCCTGTCTGATTTTCAAAGCGGCCCAGCCTCAAAAAGCTGGTTGTTGGTGAAAAACATGACTATTTTTTTATAATTTTATTATTGTCACGATCATAATTAATATATTTTATAGTCTTTAACTTTGAAATTCGAGTATAGTTTTTTTTGTACTTACTCACTACATATGCTGATCAAAAATTTTGCCCCCTCTATTTAAAACTGAAATGACAGAAGTTGCTGCGTTGTATTATAAACGTATGCACATCTTGTAAAGTAGGTGACGGACTTCTACCTTTTTCACCAATTCCGTTTACCATCAGTAAGTAATATTATGCATTTCCATTCAAATTTCAGTTTTTGGCGAGGTTTTTAGTTTTGGTAACCCTTTGTTGGTAACCTGAATCCTCTTATTGTAATCAAAGGCCTTTGCCTTTAGGTACATTATACTTGCCCCGGTCGGCAGTGTTGTAAAAAATACTTTTTAAAAGTATTTAAGTAATTACTCAAATACTTTTAAAATACCACCCAAATACTATAAATAGTAAAGTATTTGAGTAATACTTTTCAGAAGTATTTGAAATAAACTTTAAATAAAAAAAAAAACCCTTTAGTTCTGAAATAATTTGTTATAGTAAAAAATTTGTTTATTGCATTTTATAAACGTAATTTGTTCAATAATCAAAAACCGATCAGTCATGTTGGTTCTTTTTTAATGATAGTTGTACCACGACAATGAACTTTTCCCTACATAGTTATCAGTGGTCGAAATGGCTCAAGATAAGTGGAGGGATGCCTTACAATTCAGATTTAGGCCTATACGAAAAATAAAGTTTTCTTATACATAGGTATAAATATAAAAATCATAATAATTATTTCATTTTAAAACACAATTCTTAGGAGGAATGCGTTATTCTAGACAAAATAAGTAGAGGGATTAAAAATGTAAATACAAAAAAGTAGAGGGATGTCATCCCTCCATATCTCCCCCACTTCGACCACTGATAGTTAAACATTTTTAAAGCTATATTATGTATTTGGATATCCCATACTTTCATCGACTTCGTCAGCGATAAACGATAATGATAATTGATAACCATTTTCTTGGTAAATAGGTACCTAGTACTAATAATTGGTAATACTATTTTCGCATTCCGAAATGGTAAGTAGTTATAAATCAAATCATGGCTTTATTTATATCATAGAACATATATAACATATATATTATTATATAAACAACATGCCACATGGTATGATCGTAAAATTCCAGATTTGGATCAAGTCCGCGCATACGTCACTTATCCGTATTATCACAGATGAAATAAAACGGTTTAATAAAGTTCTATAAAGTTCTAATAAAGTTTTATTTAATCTGTGGTATTATCATATTGTCAATATATTATTACTACTATATATTACGCTACGTCACGTGCTCACCGGAGGATCTGTCCGTTAAAAAGTTACGATCATACCTTGTTGTTTATAATGTTTATATCATGACCATGATGGCACGGTATTTTTATTTAACAAGAAATTGAATAGCAAAAAAAAGTATTCAATAAAATAGTATTCAATAGTAAAAAAAGTATTTAAAATACCATTCAAATACTTCAAAATAAAAAGTATTTGAATTCTTTTACTCAAATACTTTACAACACTGCCGGTCGGTACTTGTTTCCACCAAAGTCAAAAAGGGTACTTTTTCCACAAATAAGTACCAGTTTTTACTAAAAGTGTAACTTGCCCTTTTCCACCAATATTCGTTACCAGTTGTCACCAGTTAATGAGACATTGACCACGTTTTTACTTAAACAATTTATATAGGTACTATTAAAAGCTGTTGTACAGTAAATTTTTTTAAAAACCCTAAATATTGAAAAACAATATTTTACATTTCAATAAAATCATTTTTATAGCAAATGGCTATTAGCAATAATAATTAGACCCTGTACCGGTACCGAGATCGTAAATTGGTCGGATACTATACTTACGACGTACATATCAATATATATTAAAAGAAAATGACCAAATTATAACAGTTTAGACCAGAGGTATTTAAACTTTTTCATCCCGCAGCTCATGTGTGTCGTGTGTGTTCAAAATATTTTGACTGCTTCCAAATTTGGATGTCTCTTCAGCGCAGACAGTATTCTCTCTTTGGCCCACGCGGCCACTCGCAACATAGACAAAACACATTTACGCAGAATTATTTTTTTTTGTTTTTGTGTTATCTTAGAGCAGAATCACCTATTTTAAAAACGATAGAGATTATATTTTTAAGGGCATAATATAACATATCGATTTGTCTAACATTTGTCTCAAAACAATTTAAACATTATTGAAGTGAATATTATTTCAGTTTTATTTTGAATGTCGAATGCTAAGTGATATAATAATAAAATATAAAACCGGTTTATGACACCCTAAAAATTGTATCCTCTATAATTTTTGTAATAAGTGATTTTACTGTAAGATTACTTAATAATCATAAAAACGGTTTTAGGTGAAACTTTTTATCTATGTTGTTACGCTTGGGTCTGAGAGAGAAAACACAAATTGCGCTGAGAAAAATTAAATCAACGGATGTAAAATATATACAATACGGGTGATAATAATAATGATTTAAGTACTAATAATAAACTTCAAAACGTTTTCATAATTGTTATAGTTATTATAAATAATATTTCTATTAATTAATAATCATATATTTATGACCTACATTAATTTTGGTTTCTGGTTCTTTGACGCAGTTCCATTTACCAACCTCTCTGGAAGCGCCAACTCACGGTTTGAATATCTCTCGCTTAGACTATAGAATATAGAAATATAATAATATTATTGATTACTAGCAAGGTGGATGTATGTATATATATATACACCTTGATTTATAGGTTATATAATAAATTATAAATGTATTTACCAACTATTTATTACAATGCAATTTTGTTTTAAATTTCAGGTACGAATTTGTAAAAGTATACCCTACAATTTTAAAATATATATTTAATATACATGTATTTTTTGTTTTTTGAATACAATTTGGTATTGGATAACTAATTATTATGGATATTACTATTTGATTTATAAGTATTTGAAAAAATGTATTAAAAGGTGCTTAGGTGTAATATTACTCTTCAGTTAAAAAAAAATTTAAACTCATCTATTTTTTATTTTATTTTCAACTTTTAGACTTTGATTTGGTACAGAGTTATTATTATTGCATAGTTATTCTTATAATATCATATTATATAAAAACTATTTAACTAAAACATATTATTCTGTTTAGTGTTTATAATAATTAATATATGATAGTACTCACTACTCAATATTATATACTTATTTATCAACTTTACTGTTTAATAGCTTTTAGTATTATAGGACATTATCTTATTTGGTGGAATCGATTATTAGTTATTAGGAAAAGTACAAGATATACTTTTAGTGGAAACGGGTATAAGTGGGGAAATAATGTACACGTTTAGTGGTACCTACTGTATGTCCGGTGTATACCTCAACCTGCTACAGTGTATAAAACTCCAGTAGAAGAGCCATGGGGTTGGTGGAATTCCCATTTTATTTTTTAAATCTATATCTATTCATTGTGTTCCAATGAATTCCAGATGTTTATGTGAGTTCAATTTTGTTAACATGTCTGTTTTCTAACAAATATTTAAATCTAGAAACTTTGGTCATTGATTTTGAAATATCAATTCGTCTTAAGGCAAAATAAAGATTTTCTAATATAACTGTTGTTGGATATAATTTTCATCTTAATTAGTCATGGTGTGAACCTTTACCTACCTATATTTAAATATAAAAAATATATAAATTATGTATATTTATATATTTAAATATTTATTTAAATTATAAATACATAACCTATACTTATAGGTACTTGTAAATTTATTTATGAAATAATATTGTAATACTTATACCTTTTTTTTCAAATTTGATCATAGGTCATATGTGAAGAAAAATACAAACAGTAGATCTCGTAATAGAGTACAAAAATAAAAAATCTAACATAGGAATATGGCTCGGACAAACGTTTTGGTCTTACGTTTATGGATCTTAATGAGGTCGAGTTATACTTGGAATACGATTTTAAAAATGGCGAATTATACGTTGAATGATTAAAATGCATATTTTTGCTCAGTGTTTGAGTTAAATGAGAAGCAACGTTGGAGAAAACGACAAATAAAAGTGAGTTTTTTCATGTCAAATTTAGTGATTTATCTGCTTCAATTCATCCCAATATTGCGATTTTCATCTTAAAATGTATTAGATAGACTGATTCTTACAAACAATCAAATTTAGTATGTTAATAGTACCTAATAATTAATAACTAATGAATTGCGTCGCAACAGACCGAAGTCGATTTATGGCTAACTTAGGTGCACGGTGATGACCGCTCCGGAGGTAATCGAAAAGCACAAAACGCACAGCTGTTCAATATACATGTTCAAATTTAATTTAATTTTATGTAAGGTAACAATTAAAATTTGTAAAAACTGTTTAAAAAATGTCTTCGAAAGTTTCATTCTTGGTAGAAAAATAGTGAAGACAGACTGTTGACTGAATACGTGAGCAAATATCCGTTTTTTTTGTAGTAAACAATACAAATAAATCATAATATATTTAAAATTGTTTTTTATTTTCTTTCATCAATAAAATAAATATTTATCTGACATTAAATATTAGACATTAGTTAAATCCTGGGTTTATTTTATTTTTACCTTTGACTATATATTTGAAAAATTATGCGTAAAACGTATAAAAAACGTTACTTGATTAGAAGGGATTTCGCGAGTGGACGTACAATAGATAAATATTTGCATAAAAAAGTTTCGTAAACAATTTTTTTTTTTGGAGGGGGGCTGGAGAAATGTTTCTCAACTGCATGGTTGAAATTTGTTGAAAGTAATGGGTCCGAGTGCTGGTGTAACGTTACACATGGTGGTAACACTGGTAACTGGTAATTATTATAATATTACTAGTTGTTATTAGCTTTTAAGTTATAAGTCGATAAGTCAATAATACCTACTACATGGAAATATATAGTATATAATATATATCAATATAATAAAAATGAAAAGCCGTTCGCTGGTAACCTCATCAATCGGAACGGCTGGCCCGATTTGTCTCATTTTAAAAATAAATATGTCTTGGGCTACACACAAAATTGTTTGTTTCTGACCGATTTTTAGTAAGGTTTTTTTTTACCTTAATCGTTTTTTATTTGTTTTCAGTATTTCGATTTTCTTACTTATAGAGGTAAAATATCGAGTAGCGTGCTTATTTTAGTGTTCGTATTATTCCGAATGAGGATTTACGGAAAAACAGAAAGGCTATCATTCTATGGGATGTTTGTATATAAATGGTTGCCATAGGTTACATATTATAATTTAGTAATACTAGCAAATAAGTAGAATTCATTTTTTTTTATATTAATGATTGCCACAGGTGGTTACATAATATAGGCAATTGATCTTACATAATAATTTTGACTTGAAATTTTGATAATAGACTCGAAAACCACGGATTGTTTTTAAATTTTCAATATAAGTTATATATGTCAATCCCTATGCCTTAAATTATTTGTAAAATAACAAATCTTCGGCATAAGAACAGGGGTGCCATTTCAGTTTTTTTTAGGGGTGTGCAAATAATTAAAGAGGCCAATTTTTCCCACCACCAGGCCAATCCTTAATAAAACGTTTCTCGTGTTTTTAATTTTTCAATATAGAATTTTTAGTGTCAAAAATATACTTAGCTATTAATAGTTACCTATATTTGAAATAAAGGTATCCAAAAAAAAAAGGAAAATACAAACTAATTATTTAAAGATAAGTTTGTGACTAAAGCATAAAGTAAAGCGTATAGTATATATTATTATTGTTTCTTAATTTTTATCAAACCTACTGTTCATTGTTATGTTCTATTTTACAAGATGGCATTTTAAAAACATAAGATTAAATTTAATCTATTTACCTCAAACCTATTCACGCCGATCTATAAAGTATAAGGTACCAGTTAGTAGTTACGTCAGGACATAGGTAGATACTTTGAACAAACTAGTCCTTAGCTACTACTAGTCCTTAGCCCCTTTTTGATTAATTATCAATGTTACTTTAAAATAAAAACAATGTTATTATTCATAAGTTGTATTTTAGTTATTACTTATAATATTAAATGTAATGTTCTTTTATTGTTTTTAGTGCCATGTTAAATTTCCGTATGAGATTTGCCGTGTACGTACCAGAAAATTTGGAAAGACCTGCTCCAGTCTTATACCATTTGGGTGGTATGTTATGTTCTGAACAAACATTTATACAGAAGTCAGGGTTTCAACGATGGGCAGCACATTATGGAATAATCGTAGTGTCACCAGATGTCTGCCCTAGTAAGGATATCTAATTTATTTTGTAATAATAAACATTGGTCACAAACATTGACTTGTGTTTTCAGGGGTTAGATTAGGTGTTGAGAATAATCAAATTGAAGCTTACGGCCAGTCATATTATGTAAACGCCATTAAAAAACCGTGGAGCAAGAATTACCAAATGTACTCATATGTGAACGAAGAGCTACCTAGTATTATTCAGAAACATTTTAATGTCAACAGAGACAAGCAGTCAATCATGGGCCACAGGTATAGTTATAAATATTAAATAAGAGTATTTATGTTTATGTATTATGTATTAAACTAAAAAAGAAAATTAGAGATGTTATTATTAATCATAAAATATCTTAACTGTTAAGCTTTATTGTGTTTAAACCAGGAAAATTAAGATAGGTTAATTTTAAATATTGATAAATTGGCACCTATATAATATCTATTATATTTTAAATTCTTAGATTTATAGTTTATTAAATAATTTTTACGTATTGCACTGTAATAAAATATAATTATTAATGAATAATAATATTTTAGTATGGGAGGACATGGTGCATTAATAAGTGCTCTTAAAAATCCTGGCAAGTTTTGTTCAGTCTCAGCATTAGCTCCAGTTTGTAATCCATCTCAATCACCTGATGAACGATTCATATTAGAGTGTTATTTTGGAAATGATAACAAAACAATGGAGAAATGGGATTCTACTTGCTTAGTAGCTGATTATAAAGGACCAGAGTTAAATATTCTCATTCATCAAGTAAAGTTAAATAATATGTTATATTAAAAATGTCTTAATTTATTTTTTATCAATATCAATGGCATACTATAATGATTACTTTGAAAATGAAATGTATAAATATTTTTTTGTAGGGAAATAATGATGAACATAAAGATGATTTAAGATTGGATAGTTTTATAAGTGCTTGTAAAAAGTCAGGGATTGCAGCTTCAATAAATGTTGAAGAAGGATATGGCCATGGTTTTTATTTCATTTCAACTTTTATAGAACAGCATTATCATCACCATGCTAAATTTTTGTGTGACTCTTAATAATTTATTAAATTTGATGTATTTGTAAGTAGTATTTAATGTATAAGTGGTGTGTTAAAACTAAAACCTATGTCACCAAATATATCTTACCTTCAATTTTAATTTGTGTAATAAGAGAATACATGGAAAATGAGTTATAATAAATAATACTTGGAAAATAGTGTCGCTATTATATTTTAATATAATGATAGATTTAAAGACACAACTGAGCAAACATTTATAAAAACTATATTCGCTGATATTTTTTCATAACTACGCCTCCAACATTACTTTCAAAAGTTGTTTAATGCCAGTGGTTTTTTCTCATGCTTAAACATAGTTATTGAAACTTAAGAATATTGAAAAATTACTTTTTCAAAGTACTAGGAGGTATTACAGAAGCATCAATCCCCTAATTTAGATGACAGTTGTCTTAGAAGATTTTGTAATTGGGGTGCCCACCATAGGGTACTGCAAGGGTTCGGCTGTGGTTCCAGAATTTTAAGTACAAAGAATTTTAATCATTATTATAAAGCAATATGATATACAAATGATTAATAAATAGCAGCTGCTATGTAACACTATAGACAACTATGGCCTATATTTTTATATTTTTTGATTACAGTATAAACAGAATTTTTAAAGGATTTATAACAAAATATCTAAAATTGTTATTCTTTGCTTAAACTAATTTCGGCCTAGTTAAAACTTAAAATATCTATAAAAAAAAAACGGCTTATGAATTTCCTTAATTTGATTTTGTTCTACCTGATTTTTTTAAATGTACTGAGAATTATTTTTCTACTATTTTTTGTGTAGACGAAAAAAAAAATATCATTGTAAAATCAATACATTATTGCTTTGTTTTGAATCATAAATGTATTGAAATATTTGTTCAGCTAAAAACTAAAAATGAATTTTTATACATTGCATTATGTGGGTGCTTTGATTTGCAGCTAATTGTTCAATTAAACCAAAAATGTTGGGTGGCGGGGGGAGGGTCTTTGAATGATGTAATTGTAATAGTATGTTTTAAACACTTTGGCGCCACTAGTGCTATAAATGGGTAAATCTTTACATCATGGTATAATGTTTATTATATGTAATGTATCTATATATATATTTTTAATCTGATTAAAATTAAAATTAATAACTTAATTACTTATGATCTAATTGGCGGCGTGTCATATGATAAGATACCTATTTATAAATACACAATATGATATACTATTATATTCATTATATTATTAAAGAAGATGATTTAGCAATTTAAACAAAATTAACATTATAACAAATTTGTAAACTATGTTTTTGTAGTTTGTACTATATATTGTATTAAAATAAAAAAAGGAAGGAATGTTTAGAGGTCAGTTTTTTTAAAAAATTGCTCATATTGGATTGGTATGTTATAGTTTAGGAGAGAAAAATAGACCAATAAATTAATATATGTATTTATTTATTTTAATGTTCACTTAGATGATAAAATCATGAATTTGATTGACACTGTGAAGGCAAAATACAATGACCTAATAATGCAGATATCACTGGCTGACTTTTATCTGTACCTAATTTCTTCGAAAGCCATCCTAAAGCAACACTGAAAACAAACATTTTTAAAATTACTATTCATTATAATATACCACAAACACCATTGAAGCTTAAATTTTAACACTTATAATATATTAATATGATAAATAATAGCATTTAATATTGCATATATTTTTATATGAAAATTAAATTTGTCTTTGTTATCAAATATATTGTTTAATATCTATTAATGCTTTTATCTAGGCTTAATATTTGTAACAGCAGATATTTCAATGCATTTATAAGTGTTAGATGTTGAGTGGAGTGTTGTATTATTTTACAATGTGTTATTATTAATTTTTTTTTGTGTTAGCCTTCACAGAAATCGTTCAACTTTGTGTAATTTCTGGTAGAAATGTGGTATCTACTTGGTTCTTTTTTTTTGGGGGGGGGGGGTGGAGGGTAAGTAAATTAAGAAGTTCTCTTTATTAACTTTACTCGAGCATCGAAAAAAAAGCAATTTAGGGAAAACAGAAATTTTTACATTAAATCTATTGACAACATTTTTTTATTTTTTCGTTGTCATTTGAGTTCTAATATTTTTTTAAAATACAATTTTACATTTGTATTTCAACTAAATTAATACTTGAATTGTGAATAACATTTGTTGGGAGTTCTATACAAAATCAGATTTGTTAGACCTTTGTTATAATATTTGGTCGACCAATTTTTATACTTTTTTGGTATTTCAAATTTTTAAATATCAAAAAGAAAAAAATACTACACAAATTTATTCTTAACCTATTACAAATAGGTTAAAAAATATAACATAACTATTATTGACTATGTTGGGAATAATGATCAAGTTTGGAAAAGTTGGGCAAGTGGATAACGCTCTGCTGTACATTAGGTGTCTAGAGAGTTACTGTATTTGATGTGTTAAATTTGAATTAGATGATATGAAATCATTATATATAAAAACGATTCTGAGTAAAGACTGTGGGTTAGCATATAATATTACATAGGTAGTATATTTGATGATATTATTGTGATTAATTTAATTTATTTTACTATTAGCCATTTAGGCATTTATAATATAGAAGTTAAATTAATGTTGTCCAGAAATGTGGTATTTGAAAAGTCATTGAGTGTATACAATATAGTAATATATTTTAAGAGATTCAAATACCAATGAATAATATTTTTAAATTACAACAAAATTAAAATTTTTATTTCCCATTAAAATATCTACGGATATATACTTTTTTTTTTGTGGTTTCATCATGGCGCTGTAGAGGGGCACTTCAACCAGTGGGGCCGTTCTTCCCGCTACATCCGTATCATTTATTAAATTCAAAATGTATAATTTATATTTATACTGAGCGTTGTCCTACAAAAAAGGATAACATATCTACGGATATATACTAATGGAATTTATAACTTTTGACCTTTTGGATTTTGTCCCTACCAGAAAAGATGTTGAAGTAAAAAATCAAAGCATTTTTATTGCCCTAAAAGCTTGCTCTAAACAGACCCACACAAAAAAATCAAAAAATACTTATCATTGTAAAATCAATATATTCTTTGCTCCGCTCAGACTCTAAGATAAAAACATCTTTATACTTAATTCTAAAAGTCAAAATGATTTTTTTACTGCTAAAAATATTCTTTTTTTTTGTATTCCTTTTTAAATTTCAACTCACTTCCAAACCGGCAATAATTTTGAACTGAAGTTTATACCGGTTTTTACTAGTTTCTTGGATCTTTGGCATAATATTTTGGCTTCTTCGCAATTCACAGTGGTCCCGTCCACGCTTGCCATCATATTGTCAAGCGTCGATACTATGGTCCACGACAGCTCGTTTATTTCCCAAAATATGGGGTTATTAATATTGTGTCTTCTGACTCTGGACACAGTGGCACCGTGATGTAATGGCGACGAGTTTAGCGTTAGTGTTGCTCCCGATTGCACCTGAAATAACCACGAATTTCAACAAGGGCTTGTTGAATGATTATTCCATATGTATAATAGCCGTTATACGTTTTGCAGTATTATATAATTTATTCTATTTGAGTTTGAGGCACCATGTAGATGATTTGCATGGATTATCTACATCGTGATTTGAGGGTTTCGTTTACATGATAGATACGAACTTACCGCCATCGCATCCATTACTAGATTCATGACAAATGTACCGAACCCCAAAAATGCAATAGCCGTTAAGGTTAGATCGTACATATCCGTTGCGGTAAGTCCTCGTATAAATGGTTCTCTATTAGAATTGTGTACCTCGTAATTCGATTGACTTAATGTTTCGATGTCTCGAGTTGGAACATTGTAACCTTTGTATTAAAACAATACGCATAATATATTTAATTTGAGTTATAATTTACAAGGCTGCACATGTGCAATATACATTTATATAAAAATACCGAAGTACCTATACGTATTTTTAGAAATGTATACATATAAATTATAAATAGTCAATAGACATCATACACTACCTATCTTTCTTTAAATTAGTTTTATTATATTTTTCTGATTTTTAATACTTAAAGCGTTATTGACTTGAAATAGTGTTAGTGATTGGGTTTGCATAGCATCAAAAATATATGGCAACAATACTAAAACATAATCTTATCTTTAACATTTTACACGTTCCCCTTTTCAAAAAAAGTGTTTTTTAAATTTATTTATATTTATTGTTTATTAGTTACCTATTAAAGAAAACAATTAAACAAAATTATATATTCACTATTTATATTTTATTTTTATTTTTCTTTATTTTTTATTTTCTTATTATCTTATCATATTTTAATATTTTAAATGTTCGCACTTTTATTGTTCTCTAGCTAATGAGGGTAAGATAGAAATACTAGAAAGACGATATTATGTAATACCTGTCTAATAGATATTAGATACCCATGTGACTAAGTTAAATATTTATTCAAAAAAAAAATGACGTACCTGATAATTACTTACCAGTCACCTTCTTCAAAAGCCAATAGGTAGGTAGTTATAATAGGCGCATATTAATTCTAAAATTCTAAAAATGATGTGTTGTACTTATACATTTATATCTATAATAGTATGTACACTTTTGAGTAATTTATACTTACTAATCTTAGATTAGTTTTTAAACTTTGAATTGTTTAAATAGGTAAACTAGAAAACAATCTTTGGATCGTATGATGCGGTTGGCTAACGAAAGCGCCACTCATCATTCATCAATACTGATGAAATTAGGTGTTACTATATAGGCTACTAGTTATTATATTTTACTTAACTATCTAATGCGCTGTATTGCCGTATTGTATATTTATTTTATTACCATTATTGTTATAAATAAATATATATATATGTGCGGTATTGTATTATTTATTTTAACCAAAATGTTAAATTGTTATAAAAGGCTTCGCCCGTTAGTAAAGAATAAATAAAATAAAAAGTCAATATGTATTACAACACTGATAGTATTCACCTGTATTTTCAGTTGGTGGAATCAATCCAGGATGTGGATAATTTGATGAATGGTAATTTGAAGGAGGCAAAAAAGAATGACCATATGACGACGAAGGTGGTCCATATGACGACGGAGGGGTTCCATACGATGACGGTGGTCGTCCATAAGAAGTTGGTGGTTGCCCATATGACGACTGTGATGATGGCGTTCCATAATCAGATGGATATGGAGGTTTTTCATTTGATAATGGTGGGGGTCCATAGTCATTTGGAAATGATGGTGGTTCGTGTGATGATTGTGGGAAAGAGGATTCTTGTGCTGATGGAGGTAGTTGAGTAGATTGTGTAGGGTTGAAATCAGGAGGTCCATGGTGCGGTCGACTTGGTTTTTTGTACTCTTTTTCATTATCAATATCGTACTGTATAGAGTGACTTTGTGCAAAATCCACACTGACCGTTTCACTGCCACTGGGGCCAGGATTTGAATCTAAACCAATGGAAATATTGAATTTTCTTAGTAAGTAATTAATTTGTCATTAATAAAATATATAAACTATTTATCTACTGATTGGCCGATTGTACATTTTAATGTAATCTGTGGTACCTGGTTGGTATGCTTATTTTCGATTTAAGTGTCCTGTACGACTTACGCGCCAGTTTTCTGTAGGTAGGCCTACTGGTAGGTAAGTACCTACTGCTTACTTTATTAGAATTCAAAGAAGATACCGTTTAAACTGATATCGATAAATCAGATCTAGCCAACCGGGATTTTTTTTACCTAGGTATCTTTTATTTTTTATTTAACAGAATTAATTCTTTTTTAGATAAAGTAAAACATATTATTGAAACTAACTATATAATTTGGTTATTACAATTAGTTAAGTGATAATTTTACTTTATTTTACTAGTTGAAATAACAAAGCAATAATGATCATTAATTTAATTATTTACTTTACAACTAATATTACGTTGTTATATTATTTACGGTAGGTATTTTACCTTCGTTTGAGTGATGAACGTTTTTCAAATCTTTCATGTCATCTACGTTCGTCATGGTATCTTCGTTATGTGTTCCTAAGCCTAGAAAATATTATAAAATGTACTGTACTACATTTTTAAAACGGTATGTGTAATTACTTTCATTATTTGCATTTTTTAGTGTGAATCCAACGGGTTTTTCGTGCATTCTAACGTTTAAATCATATTCGTCATAAATTTTTTTCAATAATTTTGTTCTAAAAATCAACGCGAACGACATATTTCAATCTATTATGCTTAAAAAATAATTAGGTATAGTTTATATTTAAATGTATACTTGATCAGCCATTCATTGTAAGCAGATGAACCTTGATCGGTTTGCATTACAGACGTTTTACCCCTCATGTGACTATCTTGAGACATCGATCGGCCTTCAGATGACTTACCGTCCGTAATATCTTGTAATATTTCTTCAACTACGTATTGTCGACAGAGGTAGTCATTTATTTTTGTTCTATAAGAAATTGTAATACATTAATCGAATGTTATTGATAAATTAATTAGGTACATAAGTAGAACAGTTTAAGTTTCATGTTGGTCCATGCTTATTTAGTTTGATAACTATTATTTGATAAAATTTGATTTGAAACCAAAGTGCTAATTTGACATTAAAGACAATTCAAAGTAAACGGATTTTTTCTTTATTACAAATGTACACCTATTTACTTCAGTAACAAACAAATATAATTTGTATGTAATATAATAGGTACCTTTTTTGGTTTTGAAGTCAAGGCTTATAATTGGGTATTTAATTTTGTGCTGAAAGTAAATATTATTGCACTTGTGTATTATAATAGATTTTATCCTGCCTTAAATAACGAACTATTATTGAGATACCTATTTGAATTAACAACAAATAATGGCATTTAAAAATAATTAATTTATATTCTGCCAATTTTTCTTTTTCGTACTTTTTATTTGTCATAGATACCTAATACTTACTTATTTATTAATAATAAAGTAGTTTTTCAAATGGAATCTTTGTTACGTTCTTGAAATAATAATTGGTACACTGTGGTTATTAAATAATATTAATTTGTTTCATGGTTTGTAAGTTTGTTATATGTTTTTAGACTGATATAAAATAAGAAATAAATTTAATAATACTTTTAATAGTGAAGATGCAGTTAGTATTGAGAATGGAGTGAAGATTAAAGGCACAGTTAAAAGATCTAAGATAATTAATTAAGACTAGACGTTCGGATATCAGAGCTGGGCAATCAAATAGTATATGAGATAGATCACAAATACACTCATTGAGATAAAGTGTGCGAAAGGAAGAATCGTTTAAACCAAGTTTGAACGAATGCCTAGGTAATAGAGAATGGCTTAATTGATCTGTTAAATTGTATAATATGTGATCTATGCAGATTTAATTTGCTGAACCAGATATTATTAGGAATATAGGTGTTATGTCCCTATATCTTGAGGCAAAGTTTGCAGGTAAGTTATTCCAATATGAGGACCATAGATTAGATATATAGCGTTTTATAAAAGGAGTAAAGTCAGAATGAGGTAGTTGAGTAAGAGATGGAAAGATAATGTTAGACGTGGATCTAATAAGATTGCCAGCAATCTCTGATATAAAGTTATTAGAACATTTTTTTTATACTTCATTGAACATTATGAAGTTGGTTGAATTTAAAACGAATAAATGTTAAAATAGTAGATACTTACTAACTTCAATTCGAAATTTGTAATATAACCTCAAGCAGTAATTACACTTGATTCACTGATTAGTGATAACTATACCTAACGTCCGGATTTCAATGTAAAGTGCATATTTTTTTGGGTGATCTTAGAACAATGCTTTTCAAGTACATATTTTTTGAACGGTGAAACTTTTATTTTGCATTTATCGATCATTTTGTTAGTTTTTGTATATCTGTACATTATAGTTATTATTCCTACGACTCACTATTTTAAACTAAACTAATTCAAAATATTATCTAAAGATAATACATTAATTTGTTTTTCTTGATGTTTTGTTTAATAGGCTTTTATGTTTTTTCTATTCAAATTGTCAATCGTTTTATGATACATCTCCGCATTAACTCATCAAATTTTTCAAATATTTCGGTTAAAAAAAAAAAAAAATAAAGTCTAGTAAATTATTTTAAGTAAATTATTAATTAGGTAGGTACCTATAACATAGACATTAAAAGAATAACTTTATATGTAAATTTTTAAGGGTATATATTATTGAAGTAAAATTTATTTTTCAATTTTTGTCTATTTTTTAGATCATTTTTCGATGGTTCCAGAGCATTTAAATCCGGGCTCCAGTAATAACCTATACGATCGTTGTAAATTTTAATATAGGAGTATATTTATTATTTGACTAGTGATTGCGGTAGGTATTAAATAAAAAACATACCTGTGGAAGTTCATGGTTGTCAAGGCGTCATTTAAATCTCCTGCAATTATTATGGTATTGTTACGAATTTCACTGGATTTTGAATTATTGACCATGTCAGATAAGCCTAATCCTTCAAATACCAAAGCTTCGGGGAATATATTGTCATGTGCGTGGCAATGAGTTGCTAATACGACGTACAGTATAAAGAACATTTTAAAATTGACTGCCTAGTTTGAGTCAGTGCGTCTAAGACAATGTTAACACTCTACAAGTGTCCAACAACCGGAAAAATTAAACTACGTGCCTAAAATAATAGGATTGTAATAAGTTTTCATAGTTATTTAGACCATTTAAATTAGAACGCATGTAACTACCTATATAAATATACAAATGTCAGAATGTCACACATACTCTTATACTCGTATGTGAACATATAATATAATGACTAAGCACATTTTTTAAATTAATTATCAGTGTTATATGGATATTTCATGTTTTTGATTTATTTGATAAATATATATTATAATAATGTAATTATATTACTCCACTATATGAGTTGGTTTAAATATTATAAAACATACCTATAATTAATAATTAAAAATTAAAATGAATACAGTTAATTATTCAAACGTTAAATAAGTATATAAATTGTAATTAATATGTAATTTTATTATTTTTAAAACAAAATTCGTCGTATTTTAATTAAATAAACATGTTGAATCAAATAATATAATTTATTTAACAATTAAGTAAATTTATAAGTATAGTTAAACTTTAGAAATCCTGAATAGGTATACCTATATATAATTCTTATCTTAAATTGTGTATAAAATAGTAGATATTTCATTCAAGATATTGGTAAAAATCGTTCTTCAAATAATTGAACTACAACATGTCTAAGTTTAAAATGTTGATGTGTAAAAGATTAAATGAGTAACAAAACCTTTGTTGATTAAATTCTTGTCTTGAACTTCTTATTTAATAAAATTAACACATAGCATGTAATTCATCGTCGTCTTTAAGTGAAATATTTTAGTATGTAGTGGATTGTATTTTAAGGGTTACACATTAAGCGAAATTAATTTTGTAAAGAACAATTGATAAACAACAATAGGTAGGTATGTGATATTTCATTTAGATACGGATTTTTGATATACCATTTAAGTAATTATATAAGTTAAAGTTCATAGTGGTATATAAAACGAATAAAAATGATTATTTTGTTGATATAATATTATGTGATTATATTTTAGTGAAGCAAAATATGTAACTAGTGGAAAAATCAAATATGTTAATAGGCATTTTTTTCTGGGATTCTGAGATTGTTGGTTTTAAAGATCTAAATACACGATTTGCTAAGCGACTATCGAAGCACAAAACGCTAAAAACGATGCAGTGTAAACGACAGCCGAAGTCGTCCCGGATATGCTGACAATTGTTCCCATACACATGGACAGTATGAACTGAGCCACGAACACCATGGAACTGACCACAGCTACGTCTGTGCCCAAACCTCTGACTTGATCATCTGATTCTTGACCACTGACATTTTCAACAAACTTGAAAGCAAAAAAATACAAAATTATAAAATCCAACTCTCGTCGAGAATCCCAGGTTATTAGAACAGAACATAATATTAATCTAACACTATACCGTGTTGGTCGAGTGATAATGGGCGATCAGCAAATACGGCATTGTGAACATCGTAGAGTACATCACACCGGCTGCCCAGGAGAAAAATATCACGCTAAACTTGTGTCGTGTGATGGCCATTAAAAACATACCGGTAGAATAAAACAGTAGACCTCCGACGTACACCCGTTTGGCCCTGTCCGATAAACATTAATTCTGTCAAAACAGTATAAAGTGTTTTAGACACCAAGTGGTTGTTACAGCGCTCACCCAAATCGTTTTATAAGTCTTTCAATTACGCTTGAATAACACGCACACGATAGCGAATACATCGCCATACCGATCGATCCGAATCGCACACCTTGTTCGTAAAGTATTTTCTTCTCGGTCCCCATTAAAGCCTAAAAAAATGTTTATTTATATTTTCTACAGTTTATGCACATGATGACCATATTGCAGTATGAAATCACGGTGCTCTTGCAGTATCAGTAAACCTGCAATGTGGCTTGTACATTAAAAAAATTATAAACCCACTGTGGGATCGCCTCCGAATACAGCTTCGCCCACATAATCTGTGAAGTATAACGAATAGCAAACATGAGCCATCCAACAGAACAAATTTGTCAGACACAATAACTTAATGGATTTGGGCATTACGACTATAGTTTTCAAGTAGTGGCCAAACGTTGCATGTTCCTGTAACATATGTCATGAAAAATAAGATAATATCATTATTGTATAAGTACCCAACTAATAAAATAAATTCTTGTGGTTAGTAACAACTACTAGCAACCTTACAGGTATAAGACGTGGTTCGTTATTCTCGATTTCATTTTCACTAACAGCATCTTTTAAAGTACCATATGACTTTGGTGCGTATTCAGTGAGTTTATTTTCTACATCAAAATCCTATAACATTTTTATCGTGATTTAATTCAGTTATTTTTACTGGAGTTATTTATTTTGCTAACTTCATCAGCTGCGGTGATCAATATTCTTGTTTGATTGGACCTTAATAATTTTAATGGCATCTCTTTGAAACTGCTTACAGTATAAGTTACGCAACCAATAAAAAGAAAAGTGACTAATGTGAAAACCGCTCTTACGTGGCCGCCCATCAATTCTCCTAAACACGTATGAAGTTGTCCAAGAATTAATGTATAAAGTAAAAAAAAATGTTTTACCAAATTTCAACGAGTCCCAATCAATTCCACCTAAAAGATAACCGATACATCCTCCTAGACCGGCCATTATCGTGAACGTACTTAGACCTTTGGCGTGATCCTCTGTGTATATTTTATAATGTTTAAGTTATTTATGTAAAATCTATATTTTTATCCAAAATTACCTGGTACGCAAATATCTAAAAGATAAGCTCTTGCTGGGCTTTGACAAGCGTCTGCATCAAAATCTAACAGTACCGTACCTAGCACTGTAAAAAAAATTGCCCAGAAATTGTTTCCTGGTGCTAAATCACCTTCCACCCAATGTCCCAATAATTTTCCATTTGGCACCAATATTAGACCTATAAAAAATATAAAAAATAATATTCATTTAGATATTATATAGGTATACGAGCAATAATTTGTTTTATGTAACTTACCTAAAAATACCCCACAAGCTAGCATTATGAGAAATGGTCTGCGTCGTCCCAACGGAAGTGTACACCTGTCACTTAAAGATCCTAATATGGGCGTGACGAAAAATCCAATGCAAGGAGATACAGCCCATACAAGACTCATATGTTGATGGTCGACTCCAATGTTCAAAAGTGTTGGAGATACGAATGCTGTTTCTGCTGCATACGAAAATTCAATTCCCATCACAGCAGCGGATATGCGTACAAGTTCCCTTCTAGTCTTTTTTCTACAACACATACAACATAAGTTAAAATTATTTTTATATAAATTAAAGATGTTGAATTATTTGGTTTGTATCTCCACATTACAATAATTAGTACTTTTCTCATGAATATTATTGGATTCACCTAAATATGTGAGAGTACTGTTCCATATCAACTTCAGGTGGACATTCATCCTCTTTTTGGTTTTCTGGACGTTCGGCCAAACCTAATGACTGTAAGAGCTCTAAAAGTGTTCTAGGCCGTTTTTCCTTCCATCCATCCCATTTATCTCTTAACAAATCTCTCCAGGTATGTAAAATACCTATCGGGCCTTGGTACTCGTGAAGTTTTTCCACCATGATAAATCACCACCAGAATTTTTTGATTCTAATAGAATATACCTTTAAATGAAAAGTAAAAAAAAATGATTTTCAGCTATTTTTATCGATGAAATGGTTAGACCTAGAAACATGAAATTAGGTCCATTAAATATTGTCTTAAATATCAATGATTAAATTAAATGTAATATTATATTTTACACGAATTGAAAAATTCTAAAGTTTAATTTATCAAACAAATATAGATATATTATACAACATACTCTATTTTATAAGTTAACTTATTATTATAATATTATTAATAACTATTTATAGTAACAATATAATGATCCAATTATAATTAGCACAATATTATATAAATATTATGAATAATAAAAACAAAACAAAATATATTTTTATCAGTAAACATTAGGAAAAGATACAGCCATACAGGTAAATAAAATTATCTATTATTCATATTATATGTGAAAATGTTGGAAATGCTGATAGATGCTGGTATGAATATTACTAGGTTGTATATCTAAATTTAAAACTTTTGTAAACCCAAGAAAGACATCAAAAATCTTTAACATATAAATAAGTTTTTACACATTCCTTTGACTAATGCTTTAGACACTTATGTCCGAAGCGAATCTCCAGGCTCGCCGAACGGAGAAAATTGTGCATTAAAAAAGAGATTAAATTGAATAAAAGGCGGTAAATTTCACTTTTCGGCGGATAACAAATTTGAAAGTAGTGGCTAAAATAAAAAAGTTTATATTGACTTTGTATAAATATCACTCAAATCGTGAAAGATAATGATATTGTAATATGTGGACGATGATTTGGCGCGTTATAGACAGTTATAAAAATTGGTAAAAATTTGCAGTTTATTTTAGGATGGCTTGGACTGAAATCAATAAATTGTATCGTTTATAAATTTATTGATTGTATGGTGGAGAATGTAAGCACCCCATGTCGGGTAGCCACAAAAGAATAAATCGACCAGGTTTGGCCGTACCAGCTGTTCTAGAAACAAATAAATTATCTACTATTTGCGGCAGAACATTATTTAAATCATTCATTAGAGAAGCGTCTGTAGTAAAAAATATACGAAACATTTTGGGTAAGCGTATACCAGTTTACACTAGTTACTTGTGCTAAGTACTACTCAATTTTAAATGAACTCGATAGGCACATATTAGTCCTTCCAAAAATTGAGAGCCATCAGGGTATAACAAAATTTCCGTCTATAATGTATGTACCTGACGGTATATGGCAGCCGGACGGTCAGAGGTGACCCAGGTATCGAAGTTCCTCCAGAAAAATCATTTTTTACACAACAATCAATTCATCAATATTATGTCACAGTATAATATTGTAAGTAAGACTTATTTATTTTTCATTAAATATAATTGCTTACATATTGTACATATTATACACATTAAGACAGCGGAGCCAGAGACTTGTGCTACACTAATGTTGGCGTCAATGATGAAAATAAAAACTTCTAGCTAGCAACTAGAGCAAAATCTACTGACGTAGCCAATGTGATTACGACAGAGTAGATTGTGTTATAGGTATGTTATCAAGAGAAACTGCCAAAGGTCACTTTCCAGTTGAATGAATGTATGCAAACTATGGACAAGCTATGTCGGAAAGCCGAATCCACTGTGGCGGAAGATATTTTACGATAGCATGTTTTTAAGTATAGTAAGTATTTTTTATAAAAGTATATAATTTTTTTAATTTAAACAACATTTTTATAATATAATAGTTCATAATATTTTCAAAAATTTTTAAAAAATTTTTATTCACACAAAATATGTATTTACGGTTTTATACAGTGCTTAAGGTGTGTCGCAAAATGTGTAGGTATTATTTGTAAATCTGTCAAATCTAAGTGATCATCTTGTGCATGTTTTTTAATTTTACCATACATTTGTCAATAATAAAATGTTGATGTATTTAGTGATGTACTCACGAGTTAAAGTGACTGGAGTATTAATATATTTGATGAGATGTATTAATATTGAATAATATATTGGTAATAAGTAGAATTTTTATACTTCATTTGTATGCGTTTTTATTTTATTATTCAATTTTTAAACCTTGCATAGTGAGTCTTATAGAGAAAATAAAGTTCATAAATACATTAAGGGGGGGGGGGGTGGCTTTAGTTAGTTGTGTTATAGGGTTTTGACTTGATTAGTTATTAGGAGGTAAATATTTTGGAGTATTGTGATTTGAAATTGTGCATTTGCGTGATTATTGTTTATTAATACGTTCACTTAGAATCACCTACTGCAGAAGGCCAATTGAACTTAGGTCCAAGTTCAAAATATGTTGACAACGATATAGCCGGGTAGCGATGGCTGAACAATTACTGAGCTGTCTCTATATTATTGTAATCCATCCCCGACCGGTTGTATGGCACTTTCTGTAGGTAGCTATAAGTACAGACTACGAGACATCATTATTACCGCAATCATTTGTATTTTAACGGTAAGCAATTGTCACTTACACCGTTGAATTTTACTTGTATTTCTTGCACCCGGTACGATGCCATAGGGAATGGATCATAGCATTACAATTTTTTTATTTCGACTTGTTTCACAAGTATACTCTATTTGTGGTCGTAATATTTGTGTTAGGTATCCTGTATCTATGTACAATGCGAGAGTGCGAAAATGATTCCTTAATTGTAAGGAAACGAAATTTGTATGATGGATTTTAAACCTGCGGAAACAACTTTAACAACTGCCGTGTATGTAAAAGTATTTTATTTTCAATTACGATTTATATTTGAATAAGTGCGTTATTATTGTACCTACGACGAGCATTATACATTTATATCACTGGTATTATCATTTTCTTATTTTCACCATAGTTTGTCGTATTGATGGATACAAATATTTAGATCAAATTATAGATTATTGTAAGCAGATAAATACGCCGAAGTCTGAGTTGTGAATTATTTTCTATTTTAAGGTTGAATTTAATATTCTCCATTTGTTAATACAATTGGTTTTGATTAACGAATGTTATATTATATATATGGGTAATTTATACACATACGATTTATATATATATTAAAATATTGTAACTATATGATATTATTTAGTTTATAGTAAAATTTAATATTTAAAAAATCCACGATAACTATATAAAATTAATCTTTCTATGATTAGGTATAGTATAATAGAAAAATTCTTATCTATAATAGTATGTATTATTACTTTTTTAGAATTCAATGATGAGTTGTCTTGAACAACCAGGACAAATATCTGGATTTTGCAAATTTCAAGGAATATTGAACTCTATAAAGATGCTGTTGTGCCAACTAAAGAAGGTCGACTCTGTTAATTTTTTCTTCTGTGATCACTGCATTGATATCATAAAGAAAGGTGTCCTGTAATTTTAATTGTTATTTTGTTAATACTATCATATTATATAGCTTTCCTGTAAATACAAACTTAATATTTTATTAAAATTTGAATGTTTATAGTTCTTTAGTATAGTATCTTACTATAATAATATTGTTATAGATATTTACTATTTAGTAGGTTGTTAATTTAAGTTATTAACACATAGTAAAATGAATAAAATATAAATAAATATCAACGAACAGTATTACAATTTTAAACACTTCCCGATTAAAATAGTAAATAGTAATGAAGAAAATTCTACTGATTAGCGATTAATATAGGTACTGGCTACTGGCTACTGGCCACTGGCCACTGCCTACTGGCTACTGCATGCGTATAAAATAAACGATCTATGACAATAATATTATATCTATTGAATAATAATGATTAGAAATATTGAAATACCATATACCTACCTACCTACGAGCTTATAAACATTAAACAATTTAAGGTGTAAGATAAAATCATACTAAATATTCTAGTAGGTATAGTTAGTAAATAAATAATTGTGCAACATTATTGTCTTATCAGATATTACATAGTATGTGATAATTAAAACATCCGTTATAGCTAATGTTAAATGGTTTATTTAATCACGTTAGCGTATAATAATATTATTGTTTTAAAACGTATATTTTTTAAATACGGTTCGTACCTAATATGTTTATCACTTACTAAATGTTATTATTATTATTATTATTATTTATTTAACTAAGGTTAACTTGTAATCTATAGAAGTTAAACATATCAATTTAGCATTTATAATACCAACATTTATCAATTTAATAATTGAACAAATAGATTTAAAATTTTTAACAAATGAATGAAGACAAAATATTGATTATTGTAGTCATAGACTGAACAGATGAATTGAATTCAATGTGAAATTATGTGTAGTGTTTAAAAAATAGTGTATACTTATGATACCAATTCAATAGGTATATGTTTTAGTTCTATCTTATTTCAAAATAATTAACTAAAATACCTACTAAAATGGTGAAAACATTATGTCGTTGTATTCTGAAATTCTCAGAGATAAATCAATAACAATGTATATCTTAATACAAAATAAAATTAAAAAATATTCCTAACTACCTACAGCGAACCTACAAGTTACAGTTAACAAATTAATTTAAATCATACTAAAATATAAAAATGTTTATATTTATATCTCTAAGTACATTAATTTGCTATAATAAAATATATACCCACCTTATTTTCAGTTACTTAATAAATGGCGCAATTTAAAATAATTTATTCACATATTGCGCTTAAGTTCCGACATATCATTGGAAAACGAGAAGAGTGAAAAGGTGAATGCGCTTTGCTCAACGTTGGCGAATGTACTAAAAGCGTACAGCGTGATAATCCAAACACACACCCTCGACGAAGTTGTATTTTTTCTCCGCTGAGCCGCTGAGAAAACTTTAAAATAAACAATAAAAATTATTAAATTTGTTTTTGAACCTTCTAATGCGGTTGTAAGTATTCGTCATTTAGGTTAAAAGTGGTAAAATGATTCACAAATCAATTTCATGATTATTTAATATTTTAGCAATAAAAATGAACAATAATTGCCACCTGATTCCGAAACCACTCAAACTTTATTGGCACTTTTAATTTCAAATAATTACATTATGTATCTTTTGTAGTAATAGGTTTATTTAGAAAAAATATGACATTTCTAAGTTTGAAACAACTTTTTAAAAATAATTTTTCAGCTGATTTTTACACAAAATTGACTGTTAGGACTCGATAATAAATTGTCCGGATGTTATCGAAGCAATTATGTTTATTGCAAAGAATTTGTACTTACTCGGGCTCGGCTATTAAGTCTAATGCAATTGTGATTACTCTGAGTGCGACAACCACCTGGGTACTTTTAAATTTTTCACGTTTTTCTTTTTAAGTATTATACAAATCACGTGTACAAGATAATGAAATAAGTAAATAACTTAGCACTTTGTTAATAAAAATGTATTTTTATTTATCCTAGTTTACTTCTTATATTTTAATTTTGATTAGTTGTATATATTGGTAACGATTAAGAGAGTATCGTACGACTTCATATCAGCTGAAGAAACCTTATAACTCGGTCAAACGTAACTCTTTTGAAATTGATTTTCACTTAAATATTAGTACCTATATCTCTTTCCAAGTCAGTGTTGTATAATTGTTTGATTTTGGGTTTATTGATACCCACATAACACAAATTGAAAGCGCCTACTAATGAAGTACCTACCCACGATTAAAAACTATCGTATTGTTACTATTTTTAATGGTTCTATTCTATTTAAAATCCTATTAGAACGTTCTCAAGTATCGATATACATACAATGATGACTGGTAATAACTGATCATCTTTTATTCTTTTATACAACGTATTTAAATAAAACCATTTTAGTAGTTTAGCATGATATACGACATAAAATAACGAATGGTGCACAACGATTTAAATAGTTCAACTATTTAAAATTAAACCTAAACAAATTTACTTGAGAGAATAATAATAATAATTCAAATAAAACCGATGTTAAAATATAAAAACATTATTTTTTATCATTTAGTTTAATTTTTATGTTTGAATTCAGTTAAGCAACTAAAATATCTAGCACTATAATACTGGCTTAGAAATATAAATTATATTTCTGTGACCTACCCGTATGTAATGCACTTACCTAATTGTTTTGATTATCAAAAAAGTATTTAATTTGTCGAATACGCATGCAATAATTATAACAATATTACACACTTAAATTAATGCAAACAAATTTTTATTTAAATTTTTTTATTAATATAACAGTACACCCATGTAACAATAGTTATACTATTAGGAAGAACGGTTTGGACTATTTTAATTTGATATGGGAGATGTAACTTCTACAAAAAGGTAGCAATTTTCTCAATTGTACACTTTACATTACTGTAATAGTAGCATAAAAATAATAGTCAATTAAATATGTTACAGATTTACAATGTCATTCCCTGTTTGTAAGTTTCTGCACAGTAATTTCCAAGGCAATTAAAATATAAATTGCGGCATAGGATTTCTTAAAATATTTAATCCGTTATCGTTCTTATCCTGCATCTGGTTAGTAATTTCTAATAAACTACTTTCTACCCTCCTCAACCAACTTGTTTTCTTTAAAATTCAAATTTTGAATTATAGCGAATTTTAAGTATTATAAATTTGAATTAAATCTTTATTATATTATTATAAGTTATAACCCAATAGAGTAATAATGGTTTAAGATTTTATTTCAAAAATGTTATTTTGTGGACAAACACTGTACAGAACACGATACACGTGTTGCACATGTTGTACGCATGTACGAAACACAACATTATATTATATTTTAGTTGTATTATAATTCATTATCTAATCTTGCAACCGGTATAGAAGTACCCACTACCCGCGTACCTATATGCATCGTAGAACAATAACTTATTTATTTACTGTCGTCACATTATGGTTGATCGGTGAAACTTCAAATGTTTGAATTTATAAAAATTTTGGTGTGTAAAAAAAAGTATATTGGATTTTCTTGTAGTTAAGAAGACGACATCGTGTGTTTGTTTGAATAATAAAAATGTAAATAGATTATCAGGATACCGTACCGCCGTAGGACGTAAAACACAAACGATTATTTCAGTTATTACAGTGAAATGTCTCATTCCTACACAGTATACGTGTAATTGGATTTTATTGTCTTTTCTGTGCTCCATTCAGACAGTAAATAAAAGCTTTCTATTGGAAGGGAACGTTTAAATCTCGCAATTGTTATCCTTTTTGATAATCTTATGTTTTTATTCCCATTATAATCGTATTGAATATATTCTTTAAATCACCAGGGGATTTGTCGTGCAATAGTAATAAGTATGATACGATTTCAGTGACAGTACCTATGTAGGTCTGTTTTTGTATTTAAGATCTATGTATATATTCAGTATATGGACGTACTTTTTTAATGATGCCGTATTGCTGTATGGATTCTGATCATTTTTAGGCGGTAAAAAATAAGTAGTAAAAAATTACATATATAATAGAAATAAAAATAATAAAAAAAATAATAAATACCATCATAAAAACGAGTACATATATACACATGACAGAAGTCATACATATATTCTGTTTTATCAATATACAAGGGATTCTGGTAGCCACTAGCATGATGTAAGAAAACTGTATAATGTTTTCAGGGATCCAATATTGTAACTTGAAGAATATGAAACGGGAATAGTCCAAAATAAAGGCAATAATTTATGTTATAAAATTCGATTTGACTGTATATCTACCTAAATTATTTGTCATAAGATAATTACACTTTAACTATGATTATATTTATTTGATAAGGTGAGTAATATTTTTTTTTAAATAAAAAAAGAATAATGCGTTACCTTCTTCAATTCTGGAATAGTCGAGCCATCGGTCATTGTTTTATTTTAATAACATTATTACAATCAATTATAGTTAATTGAACTTAGACAATTGTTCGAAGTTTATAACGAATTGGCACGATTTTTCCATTTCATAGACTATTCAACACACACACGACACACCCTCACAAGATATTTATTATTATGTGTATAGTGCTGAAGTTAGGCGTAGGTATAAATTTATTGTCGGTCTAATAGGGGGATGGGGTTAAATTAGGAACTATGATGGGAGCATAGAAAGAGGGATCTTAAATAAATTTTATCTAGTGTTGAACCCCCTCCTCCCTTAAAACCCTAACTCTGAATTTCTTACCTGAAATAGGATTTGGTACCACTATGAACATGTTAATCTTATACCTATGGTACATGGAAAAAAGGAAAATAAGCCCTTTATACATGGTAGTAAACATTTTTAAAATGTTTTCTAAAATTGTCTACCGTTCTGTATAATATCTTCTTATTTCATTAGTTCAATATAGAGCATGATGAATATATTATTATCGAAACAACACGACGTTATTTTACTATGAAGTGTTATCTAAAAGTATTTCACAAACGGGTTTGTATGTACCGGTAGACTATAATGGAACATAACAGCTGATAGATAGCATACAGTAGGTTACTTTATACTTGTAATAATTAGATAATCGGTTACAGCAATGCATCGTGAATAACATTAACACACATTATAATTTATAATTATTATTGAATCGTAATCACCAATACTGATCATTCGTATATCGAATGAAAAAAATTCGGATTTTTAATATCGTCGTTCAATTTGGATTAATTTTGTTGTTATACATCACCAGTAAGTTATTTACATAATATTATTAAACATGCGTATAATATTTTAAAAGTTATTTTTGTGTTTAGATTCGGACTACGCGGGCGTGCTGTGTAATATGGTTACATTCTACGTCTGCTTCTTGTGTGGGATTCGACGAGCAGACACACCATTCGTCGACAAATTTTCGAACGGTTGTTACCACACCTTTAACCACGCATATGGCACATCGGACTATCACAACATTGTATTGAACACACACACACACACA